CCTTCTGGAAGGACATGGAAATGATGGTTGGATGAATCTCTCTGAAAAAGCTTCAGACAGGAATCTAAGAGAACCAGCAACGATGATCATCAATGTGGTACCACCTCCTGCTTCTTCATCTCGGGTCTTGGACAGCTCCACCTGCATTCTGGCTGCTGGATGGAACACTTGCATTTGTTTCAAAATAGTGGCACCATGGTTTGTAATGGCCACATCCTTTCCCAGCTTCACTTATTTTTATCCTTTTGGTCCCAGGTTTGTTCTAATAGCATCAGCAAGAGCTGGCCCATGGAGAGACTGCCGAGCAGATTTGGGCTGGCATGTTGGGGTCCTCATGGTGCCTTTCCAGCGGCTGTTGGCAGCCCTGCGGAGCACCCGCTCCAGAGCACCAGGGCTTGGACATGGCAAGCCTGGAGGGTCTGGGTGGGCTCAGAAAGGACAGATGGATGTGGATTCCAGCTGGCTGCAGAATGGCATGCACCGTTCACCACTGAAGTGGATTAGAACACGTCACTCCAAAATATGAAACTGTGGCGTATTATTCTGAGCTTAAGGCAACTGAGAAAGAGCACACACAGGAAGGGCTCTCTGCCCTCTACTTTTCTGCCTAAGAGCAGAGCATAAATTTCCTATGAGAAAGTTGTTTTTTTTTAAAGAGCGAGCATGTGCAAGCACACGTGGGTTGGGGAGGGGCAGAAGGAAAGGGAGAGAGAGAATCTTAAGCAGGCTCCACACCCAGTGCCCAGCCCAACACAGGGCTTGATCTCACCAGCCTGAGATCACAACCTGAGCCAAAACCAAGAGTCGGGTGCTTAACTGACTGAGCCACCCAGGCAAACCGCCCTCCTCCCTTTTTTTTTTTTATTAGTTTCAGAGGTAGAATTTAGCTGATTCATCAGTTGCATATAACACCCAGGGCTCATTACATCAAGTGTCCTCTTTAATGTCCCCACCCACCTCCCCTCCACCGACCCTCAGTTTCCTATAGTTAAGAGTCTCTTATGATTTGCCTCCCTTTCAAACTTCATTTTATTTTTCCTTCCCCTAGGTTCATCTGCTTTGTTTCTTGAATTCCACATATAAGTGAAGTCAACTGTATTTGTCTTTCCCTGACTTATTTCACTTAGCATAATACCCTCTAGTTCCATCCACGTTGTTGCAAATGGCAAGATTTCATGCTTTCTGATGGCTGAGTAGTATTCCATCATGTATATATACCACATCTTCTTTATCCATTCATTTGTCGATGGACATCTGGGCTCTTTCCATATTTTGGCTATTATGGATATTGTTGTTATAAGCATCCCCCCCTTTTTAAAGAATTTTTAAAAGTAATCTCTATCCCTAGCATGGGGCTCAAACTCATAACCCCGAGATTAAGAGTCACATGTTCCACCAACTGAGCCAGCCAGGTGCCTCGAGAAAGGTGCCCTCTTATACCAGGAAGGAGAGAACACTCATCACTGGAGATGGAAATCAACACCAAAAAGACTGTACAAACTGGATTAAAATAACCCTCATGTTCCATTAGTTTCCCCCATCTATTTCCTAGTCCCTTTCCCCAGAATATACTACCCCTACCAGTCTAACCCCTTTGTCTACTCCAGGATGTATCACTTGTTGTTAAAGTAGTATATAAACCCTGAATCTACACATTTCTTCAAAGTTTTCACTCTTCTATAGTCTCCTGTAAAAACATCAAGATCCATGTTTTTCACCTGTTAATCTGTCTGCTAAATTCACAGGCATCAGGTGGAGAGCCTAAGAGCTTAGAGTTGAAGTTTTCCTTTCTATCACCTGGCAGGTGATGGGTTGACTGCAAAACGGGAGGTGGAAGTGAAGGACTTTTTATGAGCTTGTGTATTGATTAAATGTTTAAAATAAAGAATTGTATTTAAAGAAATAAAGGAAATTTTCTTCAAGTTACTCCTACGAATGAAGTCTTATTAAACCCCAAGGAAAACCAACAATTTTTGAAAAAAGATACATAAGTTTATTAAAAATTTGAAGATATTTAACAATTTATTGAAGTAAAAAATATAAATTCTTTATAAAATCTAGAAAGGTAGAATTAGGAATTCACTTTCAAAGGATTTAGAAAGAATTCCTTATAAAAGTTTTTAATATTACATTCCTTGTCAAACTGGGCCTTGGAGGGCTTTTGGCATCCCACCCCTGACTGACTGCCTTGAGAAATGGGTCTGCAGTAGCACATGAAACTGGATAGACGATAGATGCATATTCACTCTTATCCGAAGGTAGCAAAAAGCACCAGGTTTCCTACTTACTAGAATGTAGCTTCTACTGCAATTCTTTAGAGAAATGAACCTTTAGAATCCATTTTCCCCCCACTCAAAGAAGAACCATTTGTGCCTTTGTCCTAATACTGAGTACTTGCCAGGAGTTAAAACTCTGGCTGAACCATCACCACAGGACTCCTTAGATGAGGGCAGGTAAAAATGTCTCAGAAGGTGGTTTACTCTGTTCTATTCTTTCACATCTCAAATTCAGTTGGCTGGTCACAGTTAGGCAGGTAGAAATGCGTTAAAAATTTCAGAACTCACAATAATCTTTTCCAGAAGTAGATTAAGATCACTGCTGTAAAGCATGACAGAAGAGCCTGGACCAGCGTTCTTTTCCAAGACGGCAGCATGGGTGTGAAGAAGAGACAAAAGCCATCCTGCAAGGGGGAGGGAGAAGGGAATTAGACCGTTTCAGAATGCCCCATGCCTGAACTCAATAAAATACACTGGCGCTTCTGGATTAAACAGCAAGGGAACTCGTGGATTTAAAGAATAGAAAAAGTAAATACTGACCAAGAGGCAACCTGTACTTAGGAAACGGAGTTAGGATTTTTTATTTGCCCCCGCTTTTTTTCTTTAAGAGGACACCAAGCCCCACTACCCACCACATAATCTGATTAAAAATGGGCAAAGAACCTGAATGGGCCTTTCTCCGAAGAAGACCTACAATGGCCAACAGACACATGAAAAGATGCTCAGCATCACTTATCAGGGAAATGCAAATCAAAACCACAATGAGAGGTCACCTCACACCAGTCAGAATGTCTAGTATCAAAAAAACAAGAAATAGAAGTTGGTGAAGATGTGGAGAAAAGGGAACTGTTGGTAGGAATATAAATTGGTGCAGCCACTATAGAGAACAGTATGGCAGTTCCTCAAAAAAATTCAAAATAGAAATGTCATACGACCCAGTAATTCCATTTCTGGGTATTTATCTGAAGAAAACGAAAACATTAATTTGAAAAGATATATGCACCCCGGTGCTCATTACTGCAGTATTTACAATAGCCAAACTATGGAACAACTCGAGCTTCCATTGATAGATGAATGGATAAAGATGTGGTATATTTATACAATAGAATATTACTTAGCCATAAGGACGAATGAGATCTTGCCATTTGCAACATCACAGATGGACCTAGAGGACATTATGCTAAGTGAAATAAGTCAGAAAGACACAAAAAACATGATTTCAGGGGCTCCTGGGTGGCTCAGTCGTTAAGCGTCTGCCTTCGGCTCAGGTCATGGTCCCAGCGTCCTGGGATCGAGCCCCGCATCGGGCTCCCTGCTCGGCGGGGGGCCTGCTTCTCCCTCTCCCACTCCCCCTGCTTGTGTTCCTGCTCTCGCTGTCAAATAAAATCTTAAAAAAAAACAAACATGATTTCATTTACATGCAGACTAAAAAAAGAGCTGAACAAACAAAACAGAAATAGGCTTATAAATACAGAAAACTAGAGGGGAGGTGGGTGGGGAGATAGGCAAAATAAAAAACATGAAGCATTTCAGATTTTATTTTATTTATTTGAGAGAGAGCTGGGGGGTGGAGGGGGCAGGGAGGAGAGAAGGGGAGAGGGAGAAGAAACAGACTACTCCCGTGCTGAGCAAGGAGCCTGAGGCAGGGCTCTAGCCCAGGACCCCAGGATCCGGGGATCATGACCAGAGACTAAGGCAGACGCTTAACCAACTGAGCCACCCACTATATTGTACACCTGAAATTAGTAACACTGTATGCCAATTATACCAAATTTTAAGTTAATAAAATTTTTAAACTTGCAAGAAAAAAAAAAAAAAAAAAACAACCTAAGAGGAACGTAGACTACTCTATCACATTCTTTCCTGAGCCAAAGGCAGATGCCATTTGAGAAACTGGCAAATCACTAGGTTGAAAACAATCACCTAAGACAATAAAGCAAGCAGCTCCATTCAGATAAACGGAGAAGAAAGGAATGGAAGTCCAGATAGGGGCTTTTTTTTTTTTTTAAAGAGTGGGGGTAGAGAGAGGGGAGTGCAGAGGGGGAGAGAGAATCTTCAGCAGGCTCCCACCGAGCCTGAGGGGCTCGATCTCACAACCCTGAGATCAGGACCTGAGCCAAAAATCAAGAGTCTGACACTTAACTAACTGAGCCCCCCAGCACCCTGAGGTAGTGGCATTTTAACTGTAGCTAGGAAGAGGTGTGGGCATGTCCCCTTAATTGGGGGAATCTGGGCCTCTTGATGTTAAAGGATTATTCCTTAGTCAATGTTAATTAGCCAAAATAATAAAAACAATGACCTCCTCCCAATTAATTTCCTCTTTAACTGCAAAGGGCCCTCAGGGGCCAAATGCCTTCTTAAGACCGGGCTCAGGTCCGGTTCTTAGAGTTCACAGGCCTGAAGACCAGCACACACACCAAGAAGAACGAGGAAGGTAATGCTAACACCGCAAACTGTTCATATAAGGTCAGGGTTCTGATTCAGGTACTACCTCTCCTCCACAAATGGGGCCGATTTCGTCACCACAGGTGATGCCAACTGCCATCAGGAGCTAAATGTCCTGCAGTGTCTTCCTTAGTTCCTTTTTTAACTTAAGGAAGAGAGGAAAGGAACAGGAAGGAGTCTAGCTCAGAAACCAAGAGGCATGCTCTCTTCTTACTGAAGGGTGGTGGGCTTTCCTTGATCATTAAACCGGTTTAAGAGCTGCAGGGCAATGGCCTGCCCCTCTAGCCTAGACCACAGAAATCAATGACCGACAGCTGAAAGCCAGAGCAGCTGGTTATCACCCAATGAAGGGCTGGGTGCAGAGGATTAGAAGTAAGGAACTGTGAGTCAATACCACCGCTGGGTGCCTGCGCACGCTCTCCAACACCTCTGGCCCCGGCTCTTCCCGAGGGGTGTTGGGGGCTGGGCAAGGGGATGCCTTTTCACTCTCAACGTTTTAGGCTGGTGCCCTCCACCCTGCAGCGCAGTGGGCTCTGTCTCTCCAAAGGTTGCTTAATAAGCAGAGGAGAAGAATCCACCTGGCCCAGGGCCGCCCCACTGCTGACTTCACCAGTCTATGAGCGAAGCATGCCGACCTAACGTAGGCGCATCCTAAAACCCCTGAAACCGGCAAGGCTCAGGCCACAGTGGGCCACCCAGGTCGTGCGCATGGGCTTCAGAATGGGTTGGTAAGAGAGCCGTCTAGCAAGGGCGGTTTCTGCCAGTCTGACCCCACCGCGAGAGGAGGGAGCCAGACTTAACACTGAAAGTCCTCGTCTTGCTGAAAGGAACGCCTCACCGGGTTGAAACCGCGAGGGCCCTCCCGGTGGTGGCCGCGTGGGCGCGCCCCCGGCTGCCCGTCCCCCGCGTCCCCCCGCGCTCACCCAGCCGTCGTGCGCCTCCAGCCAGGCGCGATGCTGTCCTGTGAGCCGATTGCAGAGGAAATCCACCAGGCGCCCGCAGTCCTGGCGAACGGTGGCCTCCCAGTCCCCCGGCTCCTGTTCCTGGTCGGTCCCCGACGGCGATCCCTCCAGCAGTGTTCCCGCAAAGGTCAAGAGCGCCACCACACGGCCCCAGCTTAGGAGTTGGGGGTGGGCGAGTATCTCCCGCTCCACCTGAGCCACCAGCTCGACGCGGTTGCCTTGGTAGCCGCGGTAATGGGACAAGAAGCGCTCGTGACGCTGCCGTACCTGGGCGGCCACCGAGCGCAGCACCGCGGCCTCGGGCGTAGACGGCGCCCGCGCGGGGGTGCCGGGCTCCCGGGCGCAGTACTCTAGGTAGTCGGTTAGCAGCCGCGCCGTGCGCTCCCTCAGCGCGTCCGCCATGGCCTGACCTCTCCCCGCACGGCCCGAGCCGACCCGACCCGGTTTTCTAGGCCGGGCTGCGCCTCCGCCCAGGGAGGGGCCGCCGCGCCCCGCCCCGGTTCCGCGCGCGGGTCAGTTGTTTTCCTAGGTCCGGAGAGGAGCCTTTCGTGGGAATCCCACTTGCACCTGTTCCGGCCCCAAAGGCCAGGCCCGGTGGTGTGCACGCGTTCACACAGCGATCAGAAACAGAATGAGACTTTTGGGGGGATTATTGTTCAGCTCTGGGCCTGGGGACTAAGAACCCAGAGGGGAGAGTCCGGGAAGTTGAGCTAGACTCTTGTCTCCTCCTAGGAAGAGGTTGACAAAGGCTACCCACAGCCCTCCACTGACGACTCCCTTGCGAGCATGATTAGCACCTCTCCGCTGGACAGAAGCAGCCAGGTGTGGGCCGGATCTGGCATATGCGGCAGGAAGTAGGCTCCTTCTCTTGCGGGCTGCCGGAGTGCGAATACTGGCCGTATTCAGTCATTCGCTCTTATTTATTCAGAGCCTGTTAGCACCGGAATGTAATGGAGAACAAGGCATGTGGCCCCTGCTCTCAAGAACCCTACAGTCTAGCGCTGAAACAAAGAAACAGCCCCCACAGTAGAGTTTAATTATCACCGTAGTAGGAATAGGGGAGTACTCAGCTCCAGGATAGTGGAGCTGAGTACTCACTCCACTGCTGCCCGTGGCTACCATTCCTATATTGCTTAGAATTCTCTTTACTTTTTACTGGCCGATTCCTCATTACTCCAAGCCTCTGTTATAGTTAATATTTCTTATATTAACCTTTCCTTTCTCTGTTCATGATACTCTATGGCTTCTTTCTCCTGATTGGACCTAGACTGACACAGAATTGGTATTAGTGAAAATTCTGGGGCTGCAGTGGTCTGGATTATGTTGAAATATCACACTTGAGGGTGAAAGAGGAGTTGGTGCCCTTTGTATCACCTACAAGAAAAAAGAGGCAAGACATTTGGGAGGTCCTCTTGGATTTTGGAGGCAACACACACCACATATGAATGTGTGAATTCGACCCGTCTACAGGCTGGTGGGTTGGGAGGAAGAAGAGAAGGTTCTGTAGCACATTCAGGCTATAGTACGAGCCGCTGTACCACCTAGGTCTTATGCTCCAACAGATCAAATGATATGTGATGGGTCAAATAGGGATCCTGTATGGACATTCCAGTAAATACCAATAGGAGAACTATAGCACAGACCTCTAGGTTTTCAAAGAAAATCTGTGTCCTCTTCCTCAGATAGCTATTCTCCTTTCAAGAAGCAGGTTCTGCCTTGCTACTGAACCTTGGTAGAGCCTGAATGGCTAACCATGCGATATCAGGTGACCATGTAGCTTGAGCTCTCATCATATGGATTTTGTCTGACCTACCTAGACATAAGGTTGGGCATGCACAGCAGCAATGTGTCATCAAGTGGAGATAGATAGATAGATAGATAGATAGATAGATAGATAGATAGATAGATTATATATAACTGAACTCAGGCGGATCCATTAGGTACAAGTAAATTGCATGAGTAGGTGGTTCAGAGTCCTGCAACACCAATTCTTGCTGCTTTGCCTCCTCCCTCATTCCATGCCTATGGCCTCCAAGGGATTGCTTATGATCAGTTGACTGAGGGAGAAAAACTCAAGCCTGGATTACAGATGGGTCCGCAAGTGGAGAGCTGGAGCATTACAGCCCCACTCAGGGGTGACTGTGAAGACATTGGTAAAGGAAAATCCTCCCAGTGGGCAGGGATTCAAGCCAGGTATTTGACTGCCCACTATGTCTGGAGGAAGAGATGTCCAGAGTACATATTTACATTGATTCTTGGGCAGTTGCTGATGGTTTGGCTGGATGGTCAGGGCCTTGAAAAGACTAGGATTGGAAGATTGGTGACAAGGAAATCTTAGAAGGAGGTATGTGGCTGGATCCCTCTGATTGGGTACAGACTGAAGATATTCAGGTCCCATGTGAATATTAGGAGCAGACTCTTAATAATCAGATAGACAAACTTCTGTGCTTTGCGGAGTCAGAGAGCTTCTTTACCCAGCCAGCATGGTGCTTGTTCTGTGGGCCTGCGAACAAAGAGGTGATGGCAGCAGGGAGAGCATATGGCAACAGTGGAATTCTCCCTACAAAGGTTGAGTTGGCCACTGGTACTGGTGGGTGCCTCGTCTACCAACATCAGTGATTCGTTTATAGGGAGCCAAATGAATTTCATCAGAAGGGAGTATAAATCTCTGTGTATTGAGCTCCCGTGTGAACTGTTTTTGACATCTTATGGGTTCCCTTGTGGAGGTCAGTGTTTTGATATATGTTCATATTTTGTCAGAGAGTCATGATTTCCTTTTTGAACATTACATTTTAGCAACAAGCATAGTTTTTTCTTAGATTTGGAGTAGTTTGGTGGTTAGTGGTAAATCCTCTGGCCCTCACATTGGCTAACTCCTCGTAATTATCAGTTGAACCAAACAGCAAGTGAACAAATTAACCTCTACACAGAATTTCTGATCCACATGATGCAAGGAGGCAGTTTGCAGTCAGACTTGGTTAAAATCCTGGCTCTGCCACTTAGAAGCTGTGCAACCATGAGCAAGTTGTTCAACTCTCCTAGCCTCAATTTCCCTACCTAAAAAATGGAGGTAATAAACTGCACCATCCCGCTGTTACAAGGATTATGTGACTTGGTGTATGCAAGGTGCTTAGCACAGTGCTTGGCACATAGGAAAAATTCTTTACAGAGAAATTTTTATTATAAGTATGAACTAACCAGGCTTACTATGCTCACTTGTCCCACTTTTAACCGAAAGTCAAAACATAGGGGCGCTTGGGTGGCTCAGATGGTTAAGCATCTGCCTTCGGCTCAGGTCATGATCTCCAGGTCCTGGGATCGAGCCCTGCTCCTGGCTCAGCAGGGAGTCTGCTTCTCCCTCTCCCTCTGCCTCTCTCCCTGCTCATTCTCTCTCTCTGTCTCAAATGAATAAATAAAATCTTTTTTTTTAAAAAAAGAAAATAAAAATGTAACATTTTGGGGGGCCTTACCTATCTGGTTTCTTTGTTTTGTTTTTTAAATACTGAAAATACCTATAGACTACCTACTATTTTTCCATATATATATTTAGCAGCTTTATTGTGATAAATAAATGTGCAGCCATCACCACTAATTCCATGACCTCAAAGGAAATACTATACCCATTGGCAGTCCCTCCCTGTTCATCCCACCCCGAGCCCCAAGTAACCACCAAACTCCTTTCTGTCTCTGTGGATTTGCCTATTCTGAATATTTCATATAAACGGAATCATACATTGTGTAGTCCTTTGTGTCTGGCTTTTTTTGCTCAGCACAATTTTTTCAAGGTTCATCCATGTTGTGGCATGAATCAGTACTTCCTTCCTTTTTGTATTGCCAGATGATACCCCATTGCACGGCTCTACCACGATTTGTTCATTCGTTCAGCAGTTGTTGAACATTTGAGATGTTCCACTTTGGGCTGCTATGCACATTGGTGTTCAAGTTTCTGTGTGGGCATGTTTTCATTTTTCTTGGGTTACAGACTGAGGGGTTTCGTGAAGCCACCTATTATTGGGGAGCACAGATAGGCTGACCTCTGCTTTGTGGTTCCTGGTTTATGATAAGGGCAAGTGTTCACCAGTGATGTATTGGTTAGATAACCTTAGGTTCAAAAGAGGCGATTTCTGTTATCACAATCTTTGTGTCAATGCTCATACCATACTTCCATTTAGCTATTTATGTGGTTCAATTAGCCAGAGCATCATTCCTGATCCCATTTCCTCACTAGAGGGTCAGCATCTTTTTTTACAAGGACACAAGCATACTCATTTCATTTCTTTCACCAGAAATGGCCACGAGTCAGCCCACTGTGGAGATGGACCAGCCCTGAAGGCCAGCCTAGCTCCAGCCACCTCTCATCTAGAGAATGAGGGGTCTGTGCTACGCCTTGAAGAGTGACGCGATTCTCTCCTATCACAGGTGAGAGGGCGAGTGGTTTAGCCTCATGTTCTTGCAAAGGATCCAGAGAGACAAAAAGATTCACTGAGCGCTTTCCCCCAGTTTGCCTCCTCAGAATTCCTGGCCCACCTCAGTCCTGCCCAGTCTAGATCTCTAGGAACTGTATCTATATTTTTAGGACCTGTACATCTTTTTTTTTTTTTGAAAGAGTATTAGAGAGAGAGAGAGAGAGAGAATGAGCCGGGGGAGGGGCAGAGAGGGAGACAAGCAGACTCCCTGCTGAGCGGGAAGCCTGATGCAATGCGATGCCAGGAGCTCAATCCCAGGACCCTGAGATCATGACCTGAGCTGAAACCAAGCATCAGACGCTTAACCGACTGAGCCACCCAGGTGCCCCCAGGACCTGTATTTTTAACCTGCTGTTGACCTGAGTGGTTTCTCAGCAGGCAAGTTTGGGAGATGCAGATCTACAAATCCCTGCTCAACCAGCTCTGCAGGGCTTGGGAGGAAGCTAGCTGGCAGCAATAGGGCCCCAACTCCAACGCCAGTTAATCTAACCTATCTGCTGGGCTTAACCCCGATCCCAAGTGCCCACCTCTGAAAAGCTTGTCAGCAGTCCACAGGCCTGCTGTTGGTCTCTAGCCTTTCCCACTGCCTCTCTGTGCCCCCTTGGAACTCTGAAGGCCTCTCCTCCAGCCCCTCTCCTCAGTGACCCTCATCCCCACCCAGCCTTTTCTCCAAGCTCCTGTAAGGGCCTTAATGACCTCAGCAAGTTCTCACACAGTGGGCTCGAGAAGGGCTCATTAGCCCATCAGCTGTTTTCAAAGTAGAGTCCTTTGATCTTGGGAGTCCCCCAAGAACTAATTAGTTTAGATCAAAACTAATTTAAATACTGACTCTTTCTTTGTGTGTCTTTTAAGACTCTCATTCTCTGGGGAGTTATCCAGAGGCTCCTGATATGTGGGGAAAGCATTACCAACGGGATGTGTGCTTCTATATTCTTGTGTTTTACAATTTTCCTCAGCTTTAATTTCTAATAAAAATATTGATAGATATAACCCACATTACCAAAAAGCTCAAGAATTTTTAAGAGCGTAGAGTGATCATTAAGACTGAACACCTTGAGAACCACTGGCCCAGATGAATCTCTAACTGATAATGACTAATTGGATACATGAATGGGGGCTGCTTAAGGAGGGGGAGGCACTGGGGGGAGGGCTGAGGGGAAGAAAGAGCAAGGGAAGGGGAACAGGGAGGGTGGGAGAAGATGGGGGGTAGGGATGGGAGAAAGAGAGAGAAGGGAGGAGGAGGGAATAGGACGGGGAGGGATGGTGGACGGATGGAGGAAGCAGGGAGCTAACCCCTGTTGAAGATGAGCCAAAGGCTTTATGTATTTCAGTGCTGTCCCTCCACACGCGAGGGAACGGAGGCTGAGAGAGAGTCAGATATCACGCATGCTGTAAGTGGTACAGCTGGGTCTGAACCTAGGTGCACGTCGTTTGTCACCATGCTGTCCCCCTCTAACTTACAGCCGCGTCCTGGTAATCAGTGGTGCCACCCTCTCGCTGGCTGGCCAAGAAGCCATGAGAGTCCGGGATACAAACACCTTTATGACCTTTAAGCTGTTTATAATCTAGGGATGTGTAGAGGAGGTCAAGGGGTGGAAAAGGGAAGTGGATATGGAGTGCCTGCCTCTGGCTCATTCCAGAGTAGGGCTGGCAGCTGGGCCCCACTCCTGCGAGGCTGCCTACTCCAAAGCAGCTGCCTTGACTTCGGTTCACAGGTATTTCCCATAAATGCCCATCACGGCAGCCCTCCTTACCTGACCCCCCCCTTCCCGCCTAGCCCTTCTCTTCTCTGACTATGCACACCTGAGGGTGCGTCCGTGTGGACCCTTCACCACAGTTGGTTTGGTAGGTTTGCCCCCAAGGCCTCTAAGAAAAACTGATTACAAAACTCCACTCAGCATTATTTTCAATATGCAAAATACAATTTATTACTTGGAGTTACCCTTGGAGTCCCGACATGGTGTAGCATATTCCAAACCAAGTGTTTCATTGATAAATACTAAACAACACCCACTATGAAATCAAATACTTCCGGGGGGGTGGCTTTCTGCCAATGCGGATAAGTGAGTGTTCTAGGGAATACTTCCCGGGTTTTTTTTTTGATTGGAAAGTTATGGACCGTTTTTGCACATATACTGAAGATGCTCTCTGCCTCTCCAGAGATCTAACCTTGAATTTGCTTCCCTTCAGTCTAGGTGGCTTTTCCTTTGTCCTGTCTTCCTTCACTTCTGGGAGGTCCAGGTCAGAGGGCAGAGACACTAAAGGGTCTGTAGGAGAGAGACAAGGGGATACCATAAGGAGGAGACCAGGAGCAACTCTGGGACGTGCTGGGCGTGGAGCTGGGGAATCCCGTGAGACACACTCAGGGGCCTGACTCCTTCAGCAGCTGTGCCCATTTCCCTGAGCCCCTGCCAGCCTGGAATCCACTGGGCTCTTTGGAGTCCAGCAGGGGCCTTTTCCATTTCTCTCTCTACCCCAAGGCGTGCTGTGTAGTAAAACCCTCAGTAAAATGTTTGCTTGGCAAATGACTGAATCTAACCACCATATTTACTTTAAAAGAATTGATGGAAAAGCTAGCTTGGCTGGTTTTGGATTGACTGGCCCATTAGGATACAAATCATTCTGAGCGTGGGCCTGGCACATGTCCTGATGTTTGCAAGAGGCCAGCCACGTCCACACCTGTCTGTTGGCTGTGCCCTGCTGCAGCTCTGGAGGGCCTCTCTGAGCAGCAGGGCCTGGGGCTGGGCCCATGGAGCCAGAACCACGACTAGGAGAGGGGTCAGGCTGGAGCAGGGCCCAGAGAGGAGACGGGACAATCCAAGGCACTCAGGCACCATGGGACCCGAGACCACTCACAGAGCAGGCCTCAACCGGGAATGACTTTTGGTGTGTGAGGTGACCTTCTAGTTCTCTAAGTAATGCATGCCATCTTAATGAACAAGGAATTTTCTAAAACAAAGAATAAGCCTCAACACCTTAAAAACAAGGAGAAGGAGATCTTACAACAAAAACATTTGGTGTCTTCCAGAAGGAAATGCTGAATTTCAAAGACAAGTATTTTGTGAGTTATTTTTTTCTCAATATCAGAGAGGCAAAGACATTATCACTTGGGACCTATCAACTAATTTGTGTATGTAATTACATTTTCAATGCAATAAATATGAATATACTTCATATGGATATGATCTACTATGATACTTTTAGTATCCTGAGTGGATACTACTAATTCTAATACATCTAATACTACTAGCAGGTTTTTAAGTAAGTTTACTATCTTGTGTTCCCACACAGAAAGGTTTTGGTTGCTCTGAGAAGCCTTTGTGTCACAAAGAGCATTCAGCTTTTCCCTCCAATGACAGGAAATATCCTGTCCAAGGGATCCATCACATCATCACAGAATTCATAAATCAAACATCCTGTCCACTATATGCACATCTTTCTTCCATTTATGACAGTTCACACAGAGGGAAATGTTTGATCTGAAAAAAGACAATGCGAGCCTGAAAAAGAAACTTTTACAATAAAAACATTTTTTTAAAAAGGGATTTTGGGGCGCCTGGGTGGCTCAGCCGTTAAGCGTCTGCCTTCAGCTCAGGTCATGGTCCCAGGGTCCTGGGATCGAGCCCCGCATCGGGCTCCCTGCTCCGAGGGAAGCCTGCTTCTCCCTCTCCCACTCCCCCTGCTTGTGTTCCTGCTCTCGCTCGCTCTCTCTCTGTGTCAAATAAATTAAAAAAAAAAAAATGTTAAAAAGGGATTTTGTCCAATTACGTTTGGAATTAGACTTTTCTTCTATCACAGACCAGTCAACATGGCCGGCCTCGTGCAGCCCACTGTTAAAGTCAGCACTTCTAGAGGAAAGTTCCAAAAGACACAGTGCACACTGAGAAGAATCAGATGTTAAAGTGCTCTGAAAACAAATTTGATTCAAGGAAGTACTAGGGGATTTATTAAATGCTGAATCCTATAGGTAATAGAATGTGTGGAGACGGTATAATTAGAATAATCTTAAAAATGGATGCATTTTTAAAAAGTATTCAAAATGCAAAACACTGTACTTGAAGGTGTTCTAGTGCTGAAGGCCCACACTGGGGTCTTTCCAGGGGTGGTCATTTTAATAGTAATATCGGGGATGCTGAGTGAACTCGCAGCCGCGGAGTCACTCCTTTAAGCTACGTTGCAATAACCCTCAGATCCTCTAGACGAAAGATCTATTTCCATACGACGGTTTCAATTCTACCCTCAGGTGCCCATGTGTGCATCGTGAGGAGATGATTAAGCCCAGACCTGCAAAGCCACAAACAGATCATTGTTAGTCCCCGAGTAGTTAATGACTTGTGAAACTTGAGTTTAAAGAGATAAAAGCAAGGTCAGTTACACACACACACACCATCCAAAATGAAGCACGCACATGTCTTGGGTGGTAACACCTTACTCCTGGCAACTCAAAGGTGCTTCTTGGGACCTGTCTCTTCCCCTAGCTCTGCTCAGTCATCCGCAGGGCATCTGTGGCCTTCTTACTAGGGGCTGGTAATCCTTAGGCTGAGTACCATCTGTACCCACACCCCCCCCGCTGAGTACATTAATGTGACTTTATTGATTTAGGAAACTCTTGCCCTGGAAGATGAACTCGCAGATAACTTTGTTGTTTGTTTCAGGAACTTCCAAAAATCCTTGCTTTATCCTAAGAGCAGACCACTCAACTACTCTCTTTAGAAAAGATACTCACTTCTCAGGCCTACACAGAGCATCACAAATGACGGTTACTTTTCAAGACTGTCTTCAAAATCCTCTCCCTTCCCCAAGTATGTGTCCAGCAATCTTAAAACGATTGTGCCACAAATTTGTCTAATCCTAATTAAATCCCTCCATCTGGCCTTAAACCAGAACCCCCTCCCCACACCTCATAAATATCTTTGTTCTCCCCTTCTGAGTTGCCACTAAGACTGTCAAGTTTGTGCTCTGTCCCCACTGAGGTAGGAAATACACTTAGCTTTGCTTTATGAACAGGCTATTTTGGAGGTATTTCTGGTGAGCCAACATCCAGCAAGGTCATTGAGCTCTTTGAGAATATGATGAAAGCCACGAGGACACTTTCCCCGGAAAAATGGACACATGAAATGTGACCTTTAATTTCAGGAGCTTCACGGGTTCCCTAAAACCTCTTGTGGGTCTCACAAAGGTGTGTCACCACGGAATAAGAATGCCCCACTATTGGGAGGTGAGCCTGGCACCCTGTGGTTTGCCAAAGGCTAGAATCAGAAGAATCCTACTTTCAGGATCAAAAGGGACTGTTGGGGTCACCTGGCTCCATTATTACCTCAATTTCATGCTGATACACAGCTGTTTAACCTATGCTCGAACACCTGCATTGATGGGGGGCTCACGACCTCTCCGGGGCAACGCATTCCTTCTGTGGCCACGGACAGAGCTGAAATTAGAGCTGTGTCTGGCGAGCATCACCCAGGCTTATTCCGAGCCTCTGCTTTAAAGAGGGCCAGCCACTCCTCTCACACACACAGTAAAATAAAAGAACTTCTCTCTTACTCTTAGGGTATGATCCCATGATCCTGAGCAAAAAGCAGTTCCATCAGGGGAAACTCGGAGAGTACTAACGCGGTTTTCATGTCCAAACAGGATGGAGACTCGGGACCCCTTCAGAACGTCCCAGACGTTGATGGTATAATCGTTGTATCCAGCAAAGAGCAGGCGCCCTCAAAGCAGGAGGATATGATGGTTACCGAACCAGTTCCACCCTTGCTGTTTTTTTCATGACTCGCTCACACAGTCATGCAGTCGCTTGCTCATTCATTCATTCATTCATTCATTCATTCCGCAGTGATTCAGTGCCACTATGTGCCAGGCACTGTGCTTTGCCCTGGGGGTTCAGAGAGCAGTCGCTGCCCCTCGGGGAGGGTGCTGGTGGGCAGGCAGGCAGACACGTGAATGGACACATGGGAGCACATGGAATAGGGTGTCCCTTTTCGGGGATGAAGGGGAGACTGGAAGACTGAGGAGGAAATGCCTGATGAAGGGCACTGCAGGTGGGAAGCCGCACACATCACTGTCTTGAAGAAGAGCGGCACAGCCTTCATTTCCCGTAAGAGGCAGGGGGTGGGGAGGCTGCTTCGGGTGGGCTGAAGTGGGGTGGGGCGTCGTGGAGGAAAACCGGGGCAAATGCAGACCGCTTAACCCACTGGCTCACGGGAAGTTCAGCTGAGGGAAAGCTTGATCGAGAGCGGGGTTGCCTTTAGCTCCCGACTTACAGTCCCCGGAAAGTTTCTGAAAGAAAATCTTACCACTGAGGGAGAAGTCCACACTGGATGCTCCAAAGATGATACTCTCTTTGGAATAGATGGAGACCTCCCTGTCTGCCCGGAGGTCGTAGAGGCGACACTGGGGTGACAAACGTGACAAACGTGACAAAGCAGCACTTATTTCTGGCTCCGGGGTGGGGAAGAGAGGACCACAGGGCTATCAGCAGGTGCTGGTGGCTTGTGTAGTTTGGGGGATGAGGGAAATACCTCTAGTTCTCTCCCCTAGTATTTTCTGCCTTAATCCCGATTCCTATTAATCTGCAGGGATCAGTGGAGATTCAAAGAAACAGCAAATACAGAAGATTTGGGGGGCGGGGTACAAAAACAAAAATGAAACCCCTCTTTTTTTCTGATAAAGGATACATATTCGTTGTAGAAAATACAGAAAAACTCCTAAAGAAGGAAACAAAAATCACCCCAAATCCTAGAGGTATTTACTAACATCTAGGCTACTTCCTTCAGTCTTATTTCCATTTTATGTGTGTCTTTAAATGGAGTGGATATTTCATGATGACTTCTATTAACATCAGGTTATGAGCATTTTTCTCATATCATTAAATAATCATCAAAAACACATGACTAACATGGTTGTTGAATATTCCTTATGTGGATATATTAAATCTGTTTAGCCATACCCTGTTAAGACTTTTGATTGTGTCTAATTTTTCTCCTTTATAAATGAAATTTTGATGACCATTCTTACATAAAAATCCTTATACATATCTCTGATGTTTTCCTTAGGATAGTTAAGGAACAGAATCCTCAGAATAAAATTGTTTCAAGAAATAGTATGACCGGATCAAAGGGGAGGGATGTTTCGAAAGCTCTTGGCTCATATGGCAAGACTGTTTTCCAGAAGCATGGAACCAATGGGCCTAACTCTAGGCTCTTTAACCACATTACGTCCACAATATAGCATTTCACTGCTAATCCAAATGAGCTCTGTTCACTTAAGCTTGCATTTATTGGATTACAGGTGGTCTGAAAATGTTTTTAGGTGTTTATTTGCCATTTTGGATTTCCTACTTTGTAAACAGTCTACATTTTATCAAACTCTTTTTAAAAATTGGGGTGTTTGGGGCACCTGGGTGGCTCAGTTGGTTAAGTGACTGCCTTCGGCTCAGGTCATGATCCTGGAGTGCCGGGATCGAGTCCCGCATCGGGCTCCCAGCTCAGCAGGGAGTCTGCTTCTCCCTCTGATCCTCCCCCCTCTCATACGCTCTCTGTCTCATTCTCTCTCAAATAAATAAATAAAATCTTTAAAAAAAAATTGGGGTGTTTATCTTATTGATGATACAACCCCATTCATATCTAAAGGATTTCAATTTGGTCTGTCATATAGATGGCAAGAACTTTTCGTAGATGTATGCCCTTGTATTTTGTTATACATTTTTTGGCATATGGAAGTTTTACATTTTCATTTTCATTTTTTAAAAAGATCTTATTAATTCAGTATTTATCTTCCCTCTGGCAAACCCTGAACCAACCACTTTCCCCAGGCTGCCTGGGGAGGTATAGGAAAAGGAACATATAGGGCAGATGAGACGTGGGAGAAGTAATACGTACCAAAAATATTTACTTATAGTAGTATTTCTTAACAGGAAAAAAAAAAACCTTGATCCTAAATGTCCAAAAATTGACTAGTTAAGTACATAATGGCATGTCCATAACATGGAATACTATTCAATCACTAAGAAAATATAATGTAGATTGGCTCCACTACCACATGGGAAAATGTTCACAATCCATTGCTAAGTGAAAAAAGCAAATTATAAAGCATTTTGTTTTAAAATAAAAAAGATAGAAAGGAATGCACCCAACTGTGACTTTACTTGGGTTGGGAGAATAAGGTATTTTAACCCTCTTCCCAAGGCTTCCTCAATGAATTCACTTTACTACGGTAATCAGAAAAACATTAATTTTGAAAAATAAAATTAAATTAAATCACTGTATCTCTCTTTCAAATAGGAAAAGCTCTCATAACTTAGAAGCATACCGTAGCATCATCTGATCCTGAAGCAAAGGCATCTCCACTCGGGTAGTACCTGCAGAGAGAAAGTTTGGATAGAAAGCATTTATTCAGAGTGGTGATTCTCAATCCTGGATGCCCATCAGAATCATCTGGAAATCACCTGGGAAAGTTGTCCCATGCTGGGCCCGTGGAATTGGAATCAGAATCTCCACTGCTGGGGACATAAGGACTACTCTTTATAGAGGCCAGAAGGGGAGGCTGATCTGGCTGGCCCACTGGCCTCTAGTTTTTTTCCCCGTAAGTAGGGGACAGTAACAATGGCCTTGCAGAGTGTTGGTGAGGAGTAACTGAGATAATGTGTGTATTCGCACCAGGCACTGAACACAGAGCAGGCCGCCTGTAACCTTGGCTTCCATTGATCACACACCTCATTCCTGGGACTTGGCTCAGCTCCAGGCTAAGAAAGTGATTATCTGCAGACACTGGAATGGCATACACAAAACCTCGTGCAGATCTCCGTGCTGACCATTGCCTCCCTGGGATACCTCTGGCAAGGGACTTTACCTTGCCCAGCCTCAGTTTCCTCATTTGAAAAGTGAGGATGATAATGTACTTTCCCTGTTGCAAAGACTGAATAAGATAATATAGGCAAAGAACTTGGCATCGTGCCAAGTGAAAAGCATTTAATAAATGATGCTTATTACTGTTATGTTCATTCTCTTCTCGGTAATCAGGCTTCCTGGGGAGAGGGGAGTCTACACTGAGACCTAATGGATGTGAGAGGAAGAGGGGTCAGGATAGGGAGAGCAGCACAGGTGAGAGAATGTGCATTTTATTTATTTATTTATTTATTTTTAAAGATTTTATTTATTAGAGAGAGAATGAGAGAGCGCACATGAGGGGGGAGGGTCAGAGGGAGAAGCAGACTCCCCGCCGAGCAGGGAGCCCGATGCGGGACTCGATCTCGGGACTCCAGGATCATGACCTGAGCCGAAGGCAGTCGCTTAACCAACTGAGCCACCCAGGCGCCCGAGAATGTGCATTTTAAAGATATATAGGGGTTTAATTTATCTTTGTGGCTTTATAGTCTATCCTGCATCTTACCAACTTCACTAATTATCTGTATTAATTTCCTTTGATTTTCTAGGTAATTACTGCACATTTGCCAAAAGCAATAGTCTTTTCCCTTTTTCTCTACCCTACAATTGAGGGCAAGGACCTAGAAATTCTTAATAACATTTCTATTGCTAACGTAAATAAGCATTGTTATCTTGTTCTTCCTTTTAAGGGAAACAAGTCTAGTGTCTTTTCCATTAAGTATAATGAGGATTCTTAGAAGGAAGAGTCTTGACAGTGCCATCTTCCAAATTTACATGTCGAGTCCTCGCCTCTCGGGAACCAGTTCATAGATCCTGCTACCTACTCAACATCTCCACTTGGGTGTATAATAGGCATCTCAAATTAACTATCCCAAAACAGAGCTCCAGAATCCATGTGTGACAACTGCCTCCTACCCGTACTTCCTCCAGTCCTCCCTGTCTTGGTAAATAGATCACTGCTCACTGCCCCTTATAAAAGGTTTGGGTTCCCAAGCTCAGGGTTCTTCTCCTGTAATGCAACCCCTGGCCTGTGCAGGTGTCTTGGGCCCTGTCCATTTCACCCTGTGGGACTGGGGCTCAGGTAACCAGCACAAATATGCTGATACCCTGGTTACTGCCATTGCTAGAAGTAATAAACTGTCCTTCATCTCGAACCCAGGAGTCTCGTGTCTTCTACCAGCATCCATAAAACTGTGGCAGCCTAACTTGATATCGTGTAGCTAGGGTAAAATCTCAGAATCAGCACAATTCTGGACATTTCTGTCCCTACAGTGTCTTCCTTAGTTCCAGCCACCGTCACCTCTTTCTTGAACTCACACAACTTTCTAATCGGCCATCACACTTCCATTCTTGCTTCCCTGCAATCTCTTCTCCAAACAACAGCCAGAGTGACCTCTCAAAGGCAAAACAGAGACCATGTCAGCCACCCCCCAAACTGGCCTTTGGTTAGGTCCCTCCACATCTTGTCTTAACCCAGCTCTCTGCAACCCTGGCTCTTTCAAAGACTGCTTTCTCAGAGAGGCCTTCCCTGACCATCCTAAGCAATAACCCATCCCATCCCATCTGCCTGTTTTACTTTGCACATAGCACTTATCACCATCTTAAATTGTACATTTACTCATTTGTGCTTTGTCTTATCTCCTGCAAGAAAGTAGAGACCTTGTCTATCTTGTCCACAAGTTCCTGGAACAATGTCTAGCATATAAGTCTCAATAAATATTTGCTGAATAAATGAATGAGAAATACTGACTCTATTTAGGGAGGATAATAACAATTACTCTGAGTGCCATTAAACTAAATATCTCCAAGAGGTCTGGAGCGCTGTTCAGTGCCACCACAAATCAGCCTTTCTTGCGGGGAGACCTCTCTCAGCCAAGTAAAATGAGCCTGGAGGTGGTTCCTGGCCTGAACATTACCCTACGCCAGGGATCACCAGCAGAACAGAGCAGTTACATGAACATTCTACTCACTGACCGGACACTGTTGATGTCAGATTCATGTGTTTCAAAGGCCTGCACACACTGGCCGGAGCGCATGTCCCACACCATGGCTTTCTTGTCACATCCCTACAAATGCAAAGTTACCCAGAGTTATGGCCACTGCAAGGCCCGTCTACAGCCAGGCATGAGTTCTCATTATGTAACAGAGCCATTTACTTTCCATTGGTAAATGGCTGACAACATGCTTTTCTGAGACTAGCCTCACCTAAGGCTGCTTTCCTCAACCAATAAGCCCTGAGGAGGTGAGACTATGTCTTGGGGTGTAGGGGAGCAAGGGAAGGCACCCAGCTTTCCCCTTCAGCATGTCTTCTTCTTTTGCACCTTTCCAAGTGTGGGTGCAAACCCTCCAGAGCCTCCTCGCTTTCCCCCTGGGCATTTCTCTCTTTTCTGTCCTTCCCTTCCTCCCTCCTCTTCATCTCTGCCTCTCTAAGCCCGGGAGGGAAGGGCAGGCATACAGTGGGTACACGGTGAGCCCACTCCGCTTTGTCTCAGGTGTCCAGGACAGCGTGAGCGAAGGGAGACCACCGGGTGCCGCTGGGCCATCCGCACCTCTGCAGCACGCCGGCTGGGAGTCATGACCTCGCCAGCACTTAGCTGCGGGTCTCTAGCAAGTCACCGTCCTGGGCTTCCGCCTCACTACCCATAAACCCTCTCTCTGGGTTGTCAACGTGACCCAGAGTCATAAACATGAGGTTTTCACATTATGCTATCCTGGTTCTAGGAGCATTTGACACATTCCTGCAGAGCAATGCTATTATCAAGCTTGGGTAGTATAATGTGGACTCTCAATAGTCAAATAGAAGACATAATGGCTTAAAATCGGTGTTCAAGTTGCTGGTTTGAACTTCAGGGAAAAGAGTAGGGTGAATACCATAACTGATATCTCAGAACTGTGGGGGTTCAGCACTCTGATTATCTTTCATGACAATGTGGACAAAGCAATTGGGAGAGTCTTCAAATCTTTTGAGGACACTAAATCAAATGGAGTTTAGTGCTCTGAGACAATATAATCTACAATGATATCAACAATTTGAAAAGACAGTGTAGTTGAGGAGGGACAAATACAGTTATTCAAAGGCACAGAAATGAAACATACACAGACGGGGCCAAACACCCAAGAAGAAAATGGGGTTCCTGCTGATTACAGGCCACACAGCCCTCGCCTGATGCCTAGCACCAAGATGCAGGCAGCTCGGAGCAAAGGTCCCTTACGTCCTCCAGCTGCAGATGCCATGTGATGGTGCATCTAGCATGTCCTCTCCCACCTCTCTCCTGACTAAAGCGAGACAGGACCTGAGCCAGGTCACCCTGCTTAGTTCCCCATTCTTATTCCTGGCTGCCACAGAAATACTTGCCCCTGACATCTGCATAACCCATTGTCAACTCTTCCACCTAATATATTCCACGTCATATCCTGGGGGAGTGGTGGTACTGGTTTGCATTGTGCCCAATTTACAGACGAGGAAATTTAGTCAAATAGCAAAGCCAGGACCCCGGCATCCTAGTCGAGAGCTCCTCTGTGCCACCGTGGCCTTGTGTGCCTGACCCTGAGCCTTCAAATGCTCTGTTCCCTGTGCCCTGGGGTGGGAGGGTGATGGCGACAGGCAGGGGTGGGCCAGGAGAGTGTCTCACAAGCCCCAAGCCCCGATCACACCACGCTGCCTCACCTCAGCAGCCATCTGACCGGCCTTGGTACCCTTATGGCTCATCTCCAGTGCTCTCAGATGCTAACTCTGCCGTTTATTTTAGGAATAACATTTTCAAATGTGGCAGATATGCACCTCAGGTCACAGCATTCCCATGAGGAGAACATTCCAGACACCCCTGCAGACTGAATGTCAGCAGCAGAACAGGAGACCCTCTCAGCCCACCACGCACTACCACTGTTATGGGAGCCGGGGGTGGGACAGTAAGCTGAGGACAATTCCTTCTCGAGCAATGCCCGATCTACTCCCTGAAATGACAAGAATTGCCAACATAATCCTCCCACGGAGACGAAGGACCCCTAGGGATTTTGCTTGGGTCTTTACCCCAGACACGAAGGTGTTGCCCGTCTCCGAGGGGGCCAGGTCCAGGCAGAGCACGTCAGCCCCATGGCCGTGGAAGCTCTGTAGCAGCTGCCCACTCTCCACGTCCCACAGGGCACACGTCCCGTCGCCGCTCGCTGTCAGGATCTGTCCACAGAGAAGGGCAGCAAAAGCGTTGTCGTTATGACCTCTGTTGGGGGAAAGTCACTCTGATGCTTAGAGCTGAACGGGGAGGATGAGGCTCTTGGAACAAACACACACAGACTCGTGCCTTGCTATACATGGATTCAAGCACAGGAGTATTTCCCCTGTACTAAGAAAAAAAAGTTCCTTTGCGACACCCTCACCGTCCTTGCGATGTGTGTTTATGTGCCTGTCCCCCTCCGGAGCAGGAAACGGAGCAGGCCTCCGTGCTGTATCTGCAGACTCTGTGCTTGCCGGGCGTCCCAGAGGAAGTGCTCCGTGAACGTTTGTGGAACAGAACTTGCGCAGCCCCCACGAGCAGGCCAGACACTTTGAGTGCTTCTCAGATCTTAACGTGCTCCCCAGCCACCGGGCTGCTTGCTAATATTGCATCTGGGGTAGGGGCCCGAGGCCCCAGCATTCTCATAAACCCTCAGCTGGTAGCAGCGCTGAGCAGTGCGCCCCGTCAGACACGTGCCCCTGCGGCTGCTTCCCCCCAGAGTGAGGCAGGGCCCTAGACGGTCCTAGGGCCCCCGAGAGGGCCACATGCAAGCCCTCACAGATTCAGCAAGCACCTGCTGGGTGCTGACGACACCCAGGTGCTCTGCTAATAGGCATTAATTAGGGCTCGCACAGAGATCGTGTCTCGGTCCTGCTCTCCCGGAGGGCCGTTGGACAGAACCGGCAGTAAGACCTGACACCAACCGAATTCCCTGCCCCTGTGTTAAACAATTCCGAGCCCAGGCACACTTTCCTGGAGCTCTGCGAGGCAATACTGAGACCAAGTGAAAACAATCTAGCGGCCTGGCAGGATACACCTGCTCCTGTGAGGTAAGACTGTGAACCAACGAAACGACTTACCAAGACTAACAGCTTGCTCGCCCAGACTCACAGCAGGACCCTTACCTTTCGGGGCCCACCAATCCAAAGCTAGTAATGTCGTAGCCAGTTTCCTGCCTTGAGAGACCCACCTTAAAATCACCCAGCTTGGGGGCGCCTGGGTGGCTCAGTCGTTAAGCGTCTGCCTTCGGCTCAGGTCACGATCCCAGGGTCCTGGGATCGAGCCCCGCATTGGGCTCCCTGCTCGGCGGGAAGCCTGCTTCTCTCTCTCCCACTCCCCCTGCTTGTGTTCCCTCTCTCACTGTGTCTCTCTCTGTCAAATAAATAAATAAAATCTTTAAAAAAAAAAAAAATCACCCAGCTTGGCCCCCCAAGCCCTCCGAGTACCCTTCCCTGATTTTCTCATTTTGAGATGCTATGGAGAGTCTGCCGAGTTGGGGTTCTCCCTTGCCGCAGGAGGTCTAAGAAGGTTGGCACTTCTGGAGAGCAAGTTTTTCCGAGGACCTCGGCAGACAAGACAGTGATGACTCACGATAGGGTGAGAAGTGCTTAGATCCAGGCAGGCCCAAGGCACAGACAGCAAACCCATTCTGGCAACATCTGAGCTGCTCCAAGGATGTGGGAGAGCTGGCCAGGTGGAGGCCTACCTCTGCACACAATGAGAGCGTGAGGACTTCAGCCTGTAGGCAAGACGGAGCTGTGGGAAGCTTCCAAGTGAGATGATAAGATCAAAGGCAGATTTTAGGAAACTGTGTCAAGGTCCCTGCAGCCACCTCTCAAGCCGCTTCTGTAAACTTACAAGTACAAAGTCCACCCATACAGTGAGAGGAACGCCGCGGTGCCTGGGTGGACTTAGGGTCACAGCCCGAGACTGTGTATGTGTGTGTGTGTGTGTGTGCGTGCGCCCACGGCTTGGGCTCAGGCTGAGCACAGCTTCATGGGGCTGGGGGAAAGGCAGCGGAGATGCAGGCCTCACGGCCTCTGGGACCCAGCTGACTGCACTGCAGAGCCCGGGACAGCCTGTCCTGAGCAGCCACGGGCTGGGGGATCCACAAGGGCTAAGCCCTGGATGGCACAGCCTCCCTGCTCCCCACCTTCCTGCCGCGCACAGGGCCCGGATGAGGCGATAAGACAGTGCAGGAAGTGACTCGTGCAGTGTCACTGCCCCAGAGAAGGCCCTCGGTGGGTGGAGATGACTGAGGAAAGGAAATGAGCGGCAGGCAGCCTTAAGGACTGCTAGCCTCCTGTGCCCCCACCGACCTCCCTGCACCACCAAATTCCTCCTGCTGCTGGTTTTCTCTTCTCCTCTCCTTCTTTTCTGTTCTCTTCCCTTCTCTCTTACACGCTGGGCCTAGCACTCGAAAAGAATCTCCTTTTCTCTGCAGGAGAGATACACATTACAAGGAGGGGACTCTACTCCCACCCTGGCCTGGTGCCCTGCTGGCTGCCCTATCTGGAGCACGTTTCCTGCCAGGCAGTCTGGGGAGACCTAGACTCTGCTTGCAGCCAGGAGAAGCCGCTTTGGAGCTCAGCCCTGGAGCAAGAGCTGGGTGAGGTCCAGAGAGCTTAGGCTTCTTGGGCGTGGCCCCCAAGGCCCACCTCAAAGCTCCCTCTCAGGCGCAGCTCGCAAACGTGGGGAATCTCCAAGGCTGCAAAGCTTCTGCCACTGTTTGTGGGACTCCCTGCATCCCTGGCTTCTTTCAAGTGGCCTGGTACAACCAACAAGATGATCTAGGCTGGTAAAAGTTAGCTTATGAACGCACAAGACTTGGACTGGGTCTTAATTTGGGTACTTAGATTTTATAATATGCTGTAATTCTGTTCAATGTCTCCTGGGCCACACCCATTCCAGTCCTAATACTTGCAAAGGGCCAATAATCTCCCATCTTTTTTGGGACACCCAAACAGTCTGCTTTAAACGATAACCTCAGTCTAGCTCTTGAATTTGTGAATTTTCCACACCATATTCTTCAACCAAAGAGATGAATAGTTTTTAAAAGTTACAAGTAAATTCTTAATAGTAAAAAAATTAAAAAAAATACTTTTAATAATTTTGTGATCTTCATTATAAGTAAAAATTGAATTTAAAAACCACTCATCGCAATAAATGCACAAAACAGAGCCTCTAACTCACTGTCAGTCATTTCTGTTGGAAGGTAGGGAATGTGTAGGTTTAACACCAGTCTTCTGCCAGCCGGCCCGGGCCACAGCGCCCCCTACTGTACAGGTCTGTGAGAATCCTGGTGGCAAACGACAGGGGCAAACACCCCACTCCGAGTCCGAACACCCCTCTGCTCGGCAATTAAACAGTTACCCAGTCACCTGGTCTCCCCGCCGCCAGCCTCGCCTCCCCTTCTGACCCCAGTCAGCTGAAACCAGAGTGGGTCGTGGAAGGCTTTAATCTGACTCAGATGCTCTCCTCCTTAAAAGGAACCCAAATCTGACCTGGCACCTGCAAATGGCTCCTTGCCCATCTGTAGCGTCAGGCCAGACTCAGGGGGCCCTGTGACCCAGCCCTGCCCACCTCGCAGGCTGCCTGTCTCCCTCTGGGCTGCCCTCACGCTTGCCTGGCCACATCCTCGCCCTCCAAGCCTGGCTCAGGCAGCCCTTTGCAGCAAGTTTGCAACCACCCCTCCCATTCTGAGCTCTCAGCTTCCCCCACTGTTCAGTCACAGAGGGTTTCCATGAAGGTCCTGAGAACAGAGCCCGAGTGTGAGCGAGTCCACCCCCAGAACCGGTGGAATCTGGCAATGTGGGTGGTGGGCACCTATGAAGATTTGCTAAATAGATATGAATGAATAAACTGAGAATTCTTTTATGACTTGTTAAGAAACTTAGAGTGTTGAAGTTGTATTGTTTTCACCTTGTAGTTTATTCAAAGTAGGGAATAGATTTACTATTGAAAGCTTTTTCTTTTGGCATTTGTTAAAACACAAGTGTAAAGTAGGTATAGTGAGGTGTATAAAATGCACAACTCTGAAGCTCAGCAGCTCATTAAAGTTTTACACATGTAAGCACATTGGAACCACCACTCAGACTGCCAGGTAGGAATTTCCACCCCCTCTGAAGGTTCTCTGTTCCACTCCCACGACCACCAAGTCAGTTAGAGGATGTTTAATACAGCTCTGTCATTAATTAATTGTGCCGACTTCCCCCATTTTTGATTTATTAAAAATAATAATGATAACCAATGAGAAACAACAGGAGGTTCCTCTTAGAGCCAGCTGCTAGAGCATACCTCTCCTGTTAAGACACCAGAATAGCAATACTTACATTGCGCAAAACAGACTTTAAGACAAAGACTATGACAAGAGACAAAGAAGGGCACTACATAATCACAAAGGGAAAAATCCAACAAGAAGATAGAATGATTGTAAATATCTATGCACCTAACAGAGGAGCACCTAATACATAAAGCAACTATTAACAGACACAAAGGAAGAACTGTGTAGAAATATACAGAAATATAATAATAATATGGGACTTTAACACTCCACTTACATCAATGGATAGATCATCCAGACAGAAAATGAACAAGGAGACAGAGGCTTTGAATGATACATTGGGCCAGATGAACCTAACATATATTTGGAATATTCCATCCAAAAACAGTGGAATACACACTGTTTTCAAGTGCACAAAGAACATTCTCCAGAACAGATCACACGTTAGGCCACAAAACAAGTCTCAATAAATTTAAAAAGATTGAAATATCATTCATCTTTTCTAAGCACAACAGTTGAGCACAATAAATCACCAAAAAAATCTGGAAAGAACACAACTACATGGAGGCTAAGTAACAGGCTAATAAATCATGGATGGGTCAACTAAGAAATTAAAGAGACAAATGAAAATAAAAATCCAACTGTCCAAAATCATTAGGATGCAGCAAAGCTGTCTTAAGAGGGAAAATTATAGCAATATAGGTGTACCTCAAGAAGCAAGAAATATCTTGAATAAACAACCTAACCTTACACCTAAAGGAGCTAGAAGAAGAACAAAGGCCAAAGCCAGTAGAAGGAAGGAAATAATAAAGATTAGAAAAGAAATAAATGACATAGAAACTATAAAAACAATAGAACACATTGATGAAACCAGGAGATGGTTCTTCGAAAAGATCGACGAAATTGATAAACCCTTAGCCAGACTCATCAAAAAAGAAGAGAGAGAACTCAAATTAATAATATCAGAAATGAAGGAGAAGAAGAAAAAATAAAAGCTGACACTAGAGAAACACAAAGGATTATAAAAGGATATTATGAAAAATTATATACCAACAAATTGGATAATCTAAAAGAAATGGATAAATTCCTAGAAACACATAAACTCCCAAAACATAATCAAGTAGAAATAGAAAATTTGAACAGATGGATTACTAGCAATGAAATTAAATCAGTAATTAAAAAACAAAACAAAACAAAACTGAAAAACAAAAGTCCAGGACCAGATGGCTTCACAGGTTTATTTTACCAAACATTTAAAGAAGAGCTTATACCTATTCAATCAAACTGTTCCAAAAAATAGAAGAGAAAGGAAAGCTCCCAATTATTCTACAATACCAGCATTTACCCTAATACTAAAACCAGACAAAGACACTACAAAAAAAGAGTACTAAAGGCCAATATCTCTGATGAACATAAATGCAAAAATCCTCAACAAAAATCTAAGCAAACTGAATCCAACAATACATTAAAAAATCATGACCAAATAGGATTTATTCCAGAGATGCACGGTGGTTCAATATTCACAAACCAATCAACATGATACATCACATTAACAAGAGAAAGGATAAAAACTGTATGATCATCTCAGTAGATGCAGAAAAAGCATTTGACAAGATTCAACATCTATTCATGATAAAAACTCTCAGTGAAGTAGGTTTAGAGAGAACATACCTCAACATAATAAAGGCCATCAATGAAAACCCACAGCTAACATCATACTCCATGAAAACCCACAGCTAACATCAAACTGAGAGCTTTCCCTCTAAGATCAGGAACAAGACAAAGATGTCTACTCCCACCACCTTTACTCAACATAATACTGGAAGTCCTAGCCACAGCAATCAGACAAGAAAAAGAAAGAAAAGGCATCCAAATTGGTACGGAAGAAGTTAAATTGTTACTATTTACAGATGACATGAGAGTATATAGAAAACCCTAAAGATTCCAGCAAAGAAACTATGAAAACTGATAAAATGAATTCTGTAAAGTTGGATACAAAATTAATACACACAAATATGTTGTATTTCTATACACTAATAATGAAGCAGCATAAAGAGAACTTAAGAAAATAATCCCATTTAAAATTGTACCAAAAAGAACAAAATACCTAGGAATAAACTTAACCAAGGAGGTGAAAGACCTGTACTCTGAAAACTATAAAACATCAGTGAAAGAAACTGAAGACAACACAAATGGGAAGATATTCCATGCTCTAGAACCAATATTGTTAAAATGTCCATATTACCCAAAGCACTCTACAGATTTAATACAAACCCTATTAAAATACCAACAACATTTTTCACAGAACTAGAACAATCCTAAAACTTGTATGGAACCACAAAAGACCCCAAATAGCCAAAGCAATCTTCAGAAAGAAGAACAAAGATGAAGGTATCATAATCCCTGACTTCAAGATATACTACAAAGCTGTAGTAATCAAAGCATTATGGTACTAGTACAAAAAAAAACACATAAATGGAACAGAATAGAGGGCTCAGAAATAAATCCAAGCTTTTATGGTCAATTAATAGATAGGAAAGGAGGCAAGAATATCTAATGGAAAGAAGACAGTGTCTTCAGCAAATGGTGTTGGAAAAACTGGACAGCTACATGGAAAAGAATGAAACTGGACCGCTTTCTTAGACCATACACAAAAAGTAAACTCAAAATGGATTAAAGACCTAAACATAAGAACTGAAACCATAAAATTCCTAGAAGACAACATAGGCAGTCATTTCTCTGACATTGGCCATATAAACATTTTTCTAAATATGTCTTTTCTAAGGGAAACAAAACCAAAATTAAACTATTGGGATTATACCAAAATAAAAGACTTTTGCACATTGAAGGAAACGATCAACAAAACAGAAAGATAACCTACTGAATGGGAGAAGATATTTGCAAATGACATATCTGATAAGGGGTTAATATCCAAAATACAGAAAGAACTTACACAACTCAACACCAAAAAACCCAAATAATCCAAGTTAAAAATGGTAGAGGACTTGAATAGACATTTCTCCAAAGAAGACATGTAGGTGGAGACACATGAAAAGATGCTCAACCTTACTCATCGTCAGGCAAATGCAAATGAAAACTACAATAGATATCACTTCACACCTGTGAGAATGGCTAGTATCAAAACCACAAGAAATAACAAGTGCTGGCCAGGATGTGGAGAAAAAGGACCCTCTTCTACCCTTGGTGGGAATGCAAATTGGTAAGGCTGCAAATTGGTGCAGCCACAGAAGAAAAGAGTGTGGAGGTTCCTCAAAAAGTTAAAAATAGAACTACCCTATGATTCAGTAATTCCACTGCTAGGTTATTTTACCCCACTAATTAAGAAAGATGCATGCACCCCAAAGTTTATTGCAACATTATTTATCATAGCCAAATTATGGAAGCAACCCAGGTGTCCATCCATAGATGAATGGATAAAGAAGATGTGGTCTACAGATACAGATAGAGATATAGACAGATAAATACACACACACATTGGAATATTATTCAGCCATAAAAAAGAAAGAGATCTTGCCATTTGCAAAAACATGCATGGAGCTAGAGATTATAAAGCTAAGTGAAATAAGTCAGAGAAAGACAAATACCATACGATTTCACTCACATGAGGAATTTAAGAAACAAAACAAATGGGAAAAAAAAGAGACAAGCCAAAAAAGAGACTCTTAATACAGAGAACAAATTGGTGGTTGCCAGAGAGGAGGGATGCATGAAATAAAGGGGATTAAGAGCACATTTATCATGATGAGCAGTGAGAAATGCATAGAATTATTTAATCATTATATTGTGCATCTGAAACTAATACAACGCTATATGTTAACTATACTTGCATAAGATGATAATAATAATAATAGAGGGGACACTGGAAAGCTTCCTCTCCTTGCCACCCCTCCTTGGTCCTCTGCCACTTCCCGTGCTCCCCGGCAGGCTGACCCACCACACGGCCGTTTCCTCACCTGCATGTCTGAGTTGGTGAAGCTGCAGGCCGACAGGTAGTTGGTGTGCATAGCGACAGACTTCTTTTTGGCAGCCATGTTTTCATTTTTGTCAAACGTCAGTGGATACACAGAACACTTATTATCCAAACCACTAGCATGGAAAGAAAGAAGTGACAGATGCTAATATAAGGCAACAGAATACACCTATACACTCTCCTTCACGCAAACTTTTCAAAATGTTTTCCTTTGGCAGCATGATGTATTGTAAACTTTCCCCCCAACTTTGAAGATTTTCAAATGTACTGTAAAACTGAAAGAAAAACAGTACAATGAGCACCCAGATCCCTTCACCTACATTCACTAACTTAGCCTTTTGTCATATTTGTGGGAGCAAATTCTGAACCCATTTGAAGGTAAATGCAGACATGACATGTTACATCTACATACTTCAATTTGCGAATTTTACATCTTCTAAAAAAAATAGAACATTCTCCTAAGTAGCCACTAGATCATTCTCACATCTGAGAAAACTAACACAAATTCCATAACATGGTGTAGTCAGCCATCCGTATTCAATTTTTCCCAGTTGTCCCCAGGATCCAGGGCCCAATCAAGGTTCACACATGGCATTCAGTTTTTATAGCTTTTTAAGACCATTTAATTTAGAACAGACCCTCCACCTCTGTTTTTGTTGTTCATGATAAGAGATCTTAGGCCAACGGTCTTGTGGAATGTCACATACTCTGCATTTGTCACACTGTTTCTTAATGGTCATATTCAGGTAAACATTTTTGGTAATATTAGCATACAGGTGATACTGTGTACTTCTTTCTCTTTCTTGCTGCTTCACTCCAGGAGATTTGTGAGGACTACTGTCTCAAGATTGGTGACGCCAACTTTGATCACTTGGCCAAAGTGGGGAGCACTAGATCACTGCATGGGAAATATGACTTGCTTGTAATTAGTAATTAGGGTTTGACACTTCGAGACATGTGAATATCCTGCTTCACAACAGCCTTTCATGCAATGGCTTTAGCATGATTACCATTGTTTGAATCAAATATTATTTTAGGAGTACAAAATGGTGCCCTTCTGATTCGATCATTCCTTCTGCATTTGTTAGCTGATATTTTTCTGTAGAGAAAAACTTCCCCCTTCCCTCATTATCCCTGTACACCCACGGGTTTTTTTTTTCTCTTCAAGTCTGTTATGAGCCATTACTACCACTACCCCATGTGATGCTCACATTTGGACAGTGGAAGGCCCCTGCAAGCAGCTCGTTTCTGTTGGATATGACCCCATTGATCCTTGAATGTTTCCTTGCTTTCTGGAACGAGAAAATATCCTAGGCTCACTTTATCCTTTTCCTGCCCCAGACCTACGATCAGCCTTACTGCGAGGAGCCCTGCTTCTTCTTAATGGGCAATGACATTTAGGAGGAGGACACTCTTCTGATGCCCTGGGGATGCTAGGGACCCCCTTAGCCTTTCCAACTGCTCAAGGGGGCAGGTGTGGACTTGGGAAGTCTCTTACCAGTAATTCATAAGCTTGTGGGTGAGAACGATTTGTAGTTAGGCTGTGACATTGAACCAGCATGCTGTGGACTATGGGCTTCCCCGGACCCTTGAGGTGGTAGGCATTCTCCTGTGCTGAAGCTTCAGAGTAATTTCTGTAGCTCTGCTGGGATACCCATTACTTAGGGTTATTCGCATCTGGTGTTGAATCTTAGCTTTAGTATCTAACTCATTTTGTGATCTTGGTTAGGTTTTTTTAGGTTCTCTGAGCCTCAGCTTCCTTGACTATAAAGTCGATATGGAGTGGATAAAATGGAGTGGATCCCACAATCACAAGGGGCTGTTGTGAAGATTCTATAAAGAGTTCAAATGGCCCTTGACATACAATAGAGTCTCAGTAAGTGGTCATTACTGTCATTTTTATATTCCACTTGCTTGGAGGCAGGCACTATGTCCTATTCATCTTTCAATTCCCCAGGACACCTGGTCCATTGCCTTGTGAACTGTTGTTCATATCAAGTATACAATACCTGAGTGAAGTCCTCTTTCAGATATGGCTTTCAAATAAAAAAATACTTATATCTAAATAAAGGCAATTAACACAATTTTTTGAGAAGGGGATTTCAGCTTTCAAGTTTGGCACCAACTAAGAAATAGACCCACTAGTCAGACAGATGGAGATAAATATATCCCTGTTCTCCCCTTAAAAAAAATGGAGAGAATGTGGTGGAGGTGTGGGTTTGTATGATCACGGAGTTACAGGGCTGTCACAAAGCCATGATTGAGAAAGACCACATTAGATCATCACTAGATAACTAGGCAAGTTAATCACAGTGGCTCTTGACAGTTCTAGGGAAGGTCTGAGCAGGTGCTTTTGTCAAAGATGGGGATTCAGTTTTGCTCAGTTTAGTTTTTTTTTTAAAGATTTTATTTGAGAGAGAGAGAGAGAGAGAGAGAGAACGAGTGGGGGAAGGGCAGAGCGGGAGGGAGAGGGAGAGAGACAATCTCTCAAGCAGACTCAGAGCCCGAGGCAGGGCTCGATCCCATAACCCCAAGATCATGATTCCAGCCAAAACCAAGAGTCGGATGCTCAACGACTGAGCCACCCAGGCGCCCCTGCTCAGTTTAGTTTCTGATGCTCTTTCCTCATCCACTGGACCCCATATTTTATTTATTTTTTTAAAGATTTTATTTATTTATTTGACAGAGAGAGACACAGTGAGAGAGGAACACAAGCAGGGGGAGTAGAAGAGGGAGAAGCAGGCTTCCCGCCGAGCAGGGAGCCCGACGCGGGGCTCGATCCCAGGACCCTGGGATCATGACCTGAGCCGAAGGCAGGCGCTTAACGACTGAGCCACCCAGGCGCCCCTGGACCCCATATTTTAAATATTTGTTAATATTACACCAGTATTCACAGCTTGAACTCCCTCTGCTTGTGAGGCAGTCAGTGCAGGCACTGACTATGTATCACATGGCAGGGCCGGGAGACAGATACGACGGACAAGAAGACACCAGCCATTCCTCCTCTCTGAGGAGGCTGTCACCACAAACCTGTCTACCTGGGCCTTGTAAAATTATTCTCTTTCCCGCCTACCCCCCTCCCTCATGGAAATTTTCTCACTGGGTTCAAATAAGAAATAGCTGACAGAACCATTTTCCAAACTACTGTTAAAGACATTGTTCACGGGGTGCCTGGGGCAGCTCAGTTGGTTAAGTGGCCGACTCTTGATTTTGGCTCAGGTCATGCTCTCAGGGTCAGGAGATGGAGCCCTGCATTGGGTTCTGCGCTCAGCAGGGAGTCTGCTTGAGATTCTCTCCCTCTGCTCGAGATTCTCTCCCTCTGCTCCTCCCCCCACTTGCTTGCTCTCTCTAAAAAAATAAAGACATTGTTCACTATGTTATTATATCCATTGCATACAGAAGAAGGATCTACCCAATATGTTCTTTTTGTAACACAGAACCAGATAGCAGATATCTCAGTATAAAATATTGAGAAATGATGTAACTCCTTCAGCTCTATGCATCTGCTAACATTAATGCCCAGTTAGAAACATATTACCCTGGAGTTTTTTAAAATGTAGAGTATTTATTACTCCTAATGAGTAAGAACTGATCTTACCTAATGAGAGGTCAGCTTTTGCCCTTGGCTGCTGGGAGGTCATCTCTGAGGCCCTGGAATGGGCTGCCTAATGGGAGAACAGTTTTGGCTCACACATAGTCTCACAGTATGATTTAGGGCATGCACTGTGAGTTCTGACCTCCTCACAGGAACCAGAAACTAAAGGCATTAGCCTAAACCTCTAGGACACACTGGAGACTGAGGGTCAGCCACATGGGCCGTATGTGATTGAGCCCCAGGAAAAACTGTGGACATGAAAGACTCAGGCAAGTTTCCCTGGTGGTTAATGCTCTGTGAATCATCACGCATGGTGGCCAGGAGGCCAGGAGACCAGGAGGAGGTAACGCCGTCCATGACGCCACAGGGACGGGACAACTGGAAGCTCCAGGTTTAGACCCTGCCTGGACTCTGCCCTGGGCACCACCTTTGGTTGGTTCTAATTTGTATCCTTTCACTGTGAGAAAACTGTGAGCCTAAGTATAGCACTTTCCTGAGTTCTGTGGTTGTTCCAGCAAATTATCAAACCTGAGGGTGGTTTGAGGCTGATATCTGAAGTGACAGAAGTTTTGTGGGAACAGCGCCTTCTAATTATACAGCTGGCCGAACTCCTTTACACTTACCTTATTGTGTGTGTGTATGTATACACACATATGTAAATAAATGTATTATGTACATAGCATATACATAAATACATATACACCTACCTATATCATGCGTGTATGTGTGTCTTTTATTGTGCTTACCTCAGATCCTTTCAAGAAGTAAATGGGATGAATTTTATATAAATACTACCATTCAGTTATAAAATGGAAATACAACCTACTTTTGAATTATTTAAAAAATTAGAAAATATGAAATACATGTGTGTGAACATGGGTTCCAAAGGCACACAGGGTCTTGGCACGTGGAGAGTGAATGGAAAGATGCCCCCGACAGCCACTCAAAGGGAGGGACGTTGAGGACAACCATTGGTGTGACTTGGCTGGAGAAGGCTCCAAACTCTTTGCTTGGAGGCCAAGTGTTTTCATTTTTGAATTAAAACTCCTTTCTCCTGATTATAAAAATGACATATGCTTATTTTTAAAAATGGAAAATTATAAAAAAAGAGAAAATTATAAAAAAGAGAAAACCCCATAGTCCCATCATCCACAAGGAACTACTACTGGATTTTTTGGTATAGTTTATCACAGACTTAATGCCTCTTTTCTAAACATGGCTGGGATCCTATGGTAGAGATATTTTCCAGAATTGTTTAACACAGGGACAGGGAATTATGTTGGTTGCAGTTCTCACTGCCAACTCTGTTAAACTGAGCTCCAGGAGAATAGGAAATAAAACACCATCTTCCTAGCAACCTGGATGTTCTTTTGATTTACTGTAATTAAGAAGTTTCCTTCTTAATGGTTGTATAAAATATTCCCTTCAACTCATGTCCCACAATTCACTTAATAATTTCCTTTGATGGACTTATGGTTCCTCCCTACCCTGCCTTTTTTTGCTTTATTTTAAATAGTGCTACAATAAATATTACTGCTCATATGGCTTTTCTATATTTTGGATCATTCCTTTCAAACAAGTTCTTAGGTATGGAATCTCTAGATCAAAGGTTATAAATTTTTCAAGGCTTCTGTTCTGATACACATTACTAACATGTTTTCCAAAACGTTTGCACCAATTTATAGTCCCCACCAACAGCATTTGAGAGTAGAGGAGGCAGGTTTGAAACTTAAGCTACTGTCAGTCTATAATGAAAATAAGTATGAAAGAGATTTGTGTAGTTTCTTTTTTGATGAAGTTCAGGAAGGAATTGAACACCTCACTTAACTGGTCAAGAACAAAAACAGTTAAGTTCGAGTTTGTTTGCTTGTTTTTGCCCATCAAACGGTATTTTATGGCTAATCAGAGATCTGAGAAGCTGCTTGGCCCCTACTTACCCACATGCAATGGCGCATCCCGACGGGGCATATGCACAGGCCATCACCCACGTGCAGGGCATGGTGACTGCATGCTCCTGAAACACAGAACGCAAGCTTCATAGAAGGAAAGAGCGGCACTTCTACACAAATGTGTGAATGTTTAGTTTTTGCAAAATCAAATGACTGGAGTTCCTGCTAAATCCCATTACCATTTCAAAGGGCAGGGGTGTGGGGTGAAGCTCAGCCTGAGACTGACAGGAGACTCAGCTCCCCCAGAATCAACAAAAGCGAATGTCGTATATTCCAAGTGCTAAAAATCTCAGCCAACAAAACAATATCCTTACTGTTTTACTTCTCTTTTTTAAAGATATATTTGAGCGAGAGAGAGAGCACACAAGCAGGGGAAGGGGCAGAGAGAGAGAATCCTCACGCAGACTCCCTGCTGAGTGTGGAGCCCAACGTGGGGCTCAATCTCACGACTCATGAGATCATGACCTGCGCCGAAACCAAGAGTCAGATGCTCAACTGACAGAGCCACCCAGGTGGCCTACTTATTTCTTAATGTTATACTCCCCTTGTTCTTCTGAATGAATATTGGGGCTCATTTTCTTTGAAAGGTCTGTCTGAATTTCACTTCAGTTACATGCTGTACCTTATTTACTCAGATTCCCCCTTTTTAAAAATCTGTTCTTAAATGATTCTACACGTATGTTGTGTTTGCTGCCCTGTGAGTATACAAGAGCCTCTGTCCCCTGTGGGCCCTGAAACCACTCCTGGGAAGGTCTGAGTGGAGGCGGGGGAGGGCAGGGTGATCTTGAGTTGTGCTCACAGAGGACGGAGACCCCATAACATGGAGGCAACGAGAACTAGGTGTAGCAGTTTCTGCTCCTGGCTGGTGGTCGGGGCACCCACATTCTCCTGCATGCCAACAGGCAACAAAGCCACAACCCAAAACCTTCTGCATCTGTGGTCTTACTTCCCATGAGAGACATGGGTCCTGGTTCCTAGTTCCAACACCAGCAAGATGTGTGGCCCCATGCAGGCCACTGGTGAAGGGAGAGGACGGGACTAGCTGATTCTAGGCCGGTTCTTTCCTGCTATGATTCATGTTATGCTCATGGAAATTCTGTCACTCACAATCTACAGCCTTTCAGATGCCTAGAATAACCCACTGCAGCAAATGGCCACTCTCAGCACAAGGCGCCCCAGGCCCCCTTCCTTACAAGAAAAAACTATGTTCCCTGCCGGGGGCCACAGTGGCAACACCACGGCTCCCCAGAAATCAGGCAGTGTGTGCTCTAGGACATGCTAAGGCTTAAACAGAAGCAAAAAAACCCCACACACTCCTGAAGATGCTAAGGTGCGCTGGGAGAAGCAGAGGCTCCCATGGGCGGAGGTGCTGGAGGGGAAAGCCCCTTGTAAACCATTAAGTTGCCATCTTTACTATTCCCTAGGGGCCTGACCATTAGGGACTCTGCTCCAGAAGGTGGTTCTGGCCCCCCACCCCTTGATCAGGTTGGGTAGCACCTGCCTACCACAACACTTACTAAACACATTCAAAAATATGCAGAATATGGATGCTGCTCAGTTTGAGGCAGATATAGGTCTCTTTGTCTTATATAGTGAAGAAGAGAAGACCTTCCTTATATAAATAACAGAACCAGGACTGAAGACACAATAGTCATTACCATAAATGGCACACGAGGCAGGCTATAAGCACACCTCCACAGAGACGGTGGCCTTTCTCTTTAGTTAAGAGTCTAAATGCAGGTTAAATTTGGAGCCGAGCTCGCCCAGGCCCGACCTGCAGGAGATCACTGGATAGTCAGCTCAACCCCCTGCAACCTCAGCTTCTCCCCCGCTGTCTGCTCATGTCCACGGTGCTACAGAGTCCGGTCACAGACACAGAGGGCAGAGAAAGTGGGGGCTTCAGGAACCTCTTACCACCCCTCAGGAGAAAAATAATACGTGCGTGCCTGCGTGTGAGGAGTTTGCCAGGCCAGGCCCCTTCCGGTTTTAAGTGTTAGCACCCTCTCTGCTGGCTCTGCATGCTCCTGCTGGGGGGAGCGGTTTCAGCTCTCGAGGGGAACAGACCTGCCGCGGGCTGCTGAGCTGTCTGAACACAGACGGGCTTTCCTGGGGTTTCCATCCCCAGGCGGGCACCCGAGAAGCCCGATGACCATGAGCCTGGGGGTATCTGGAGGGGAAGAGGACAGGGCCGGGGTCCTGGGGTGCTGCTCAATGCGCCAGGGACAAACTCTTACCTTGTTAGTAGTGAAGGAATCCCACACGATCACCTTCCCGTCCTGGAGGGAAAAGAGTAAACAGCTTAGGAGCCGTCAGTCAGTGCTCACAGGCGGCTGCGAGAACGCTCAGAAGAGCTGTGTCCAGCTGGATGGCGCGCAGGAGACGCCAGAGTAAGTACCTGGGTGGTCAAGGACCTCCAACCTACCTTTGAACAAGGGGGACAGAACGGGGGGCTGAACTGTCCCGCCTGATTAAAGGCTCAGTTCTCAACATGACACTCCTTGTGGAGCTACAGAGCAATGCTCAGGCTTCTAACCATCCAGACACCGAGCACTCACTCTTGGTGCCTTGCTGTCGCCCCCCACGCCCTGTCAAGAAGCTATACAGGGGTGAGACAAACCTGAAATTACCTCGAGGTACTTGCCAGGTAACTAATGGTCTCTTTCGTTCTCCCTGGCCACCCCCACCAGCCCTCCTGGCTCCTGTGCCCCCCGCACGCTGCGCCAGAGCCCCCACCCTCATCCCTGGCCCACTTCTCTGGGCCCCGCGGGCCTGACAGCAGTGTAACTTGCCCACCCAGACAGTTCACACCTAAGCTGGGAACAACGTGAGACTCCTGTCCGTCACCTGTCTGTCACGGTGGGGACGCCCTGGGGGGCTGGGCTCGGGGCTGGCGATGCCACCTTCACTGTACCCGCTGCTGCAGCCTGAGCTGGGGCTGTGGGGAGTCACCACGACATCGTGGGTATGGAATACAAACCCACACGAGCCCTGGTCCCTACAGTGCGGCCACCTGCCCGGTACGCGGTGTGTGGGTCCTCTGGGCCCCCAGGCTCTGCCTGTGAGGAAGAAGATGGCTGAGTCGGCAGCCTCCATGGCAGGCTCGGTGTTTGTAATCACGGAAGCCATCTGGAGCCAAACGTGAACGACGAGGTGAGGGTGGGGGAAGAGGTGCCACTGAGGGGCGCAAGCAAGGTCTGATTATCCAAAGTGACACGGTTGCTTCCTTTGCATGATCCACTGGACGATTTCCATATTCCCGCTGCGTGTGACTGAAGGGCCCAGGAACAAAGTCAAAGTGGGCAATCTGGGGTCTTTCAAAACTCCTAAGCACACTGGTTCTTCTAGTCTAATTTCTCTGACTAAACGCCCAAACACAACAGAGGGGGTAGATTGGATAACAGGGCAGAGAAGAGGGAAGGAGCTCCAGGCCTGTACCTTGGGGTCCTCCGCACCTGGAGCCCGGCTCGCTGTGCCGGGGAACAGACTTGTGCATTGTCCAAGCTGGCGTTCCCTCTGGCGGCTTCCTCCACCATGCCGCCTGCCTGCCTGTCCCCACTGCCCACCCACTTTGTGCTCTGGACAGAAGAAGGCACCCAAGAGGCTAAAATCAGGCATAAAACCAAATGTGGGCCTCTCCACCAGCACAGATTTATATACCAGGGCCTCATGTTCCTGGAGAGACCGCCTCCACCCCAAACCCTACCCCACGCAGTGAGGCTGATTAATCTCCTGCCTTCAAGGGAGAAGGGCTGCTCTGAGTCACTCCGTCTGCTCCAGAATGTTCCCACTGTTGTCAGCTTCCTCCCACGCCCACCCCACTTCTAGTTTTCTCTGCGTTAGAGGTGGATGGATGGAGCGTTCCTCCTCCCTCTCTAATAAGAACAGTGTATGAGTGACAGAAAATCCAACATATATTGTACTCTTAAAGATAAGAAAAGTCAAAAAGGCTAGGTGATAACCACTTTGAAAAAAAAAGTCTGGAAAGGAATGCTCTAAAATAGTAATAATGGTTGGGACAGGGTGGTGGGAGTAAAAGCGTTTCTTTGTTCTCTTTTTCAGTGTCTCTTTAATGTGGTAAAATACATGAGAAAAATGTTTTATGAACATAAGTGAAAGCAAATAACAAGGTGACATATTAGATCTATAGGTAATTTAGGACACTAAGACCACCTGTCCTTATCAAACACAGCCTGACATAGATGTTAGAGTGTGTGGATTATTTAGATTATGTACAGTTTTTATATTTAAAAGGAATTTTGTCTTTTGGATATTGTCTTTTGGAAAAGCTGGGCTGAAGGTATGGATGGTTGGCAGGGGAGTCCAAACTGGCCATAAAAATATAGAACTTCAGTTTATAATTTTATATTCAATGCATGTTACATCAAAATAGACATAAAAAGTACCAAGCAGTGATAACCAGCCTCCTGATAGTCGCACTTTTGTAGAGGCCCCTCCCTCATAACGTCAGGGTTGGAATATAGCAGGAGTGATGGAATGTCACTTCTGAGGGCATGGCTTCGGCTTCCATCTCCCTCTCTTGCTCTGGGGAAGGCCAGCTACTATCTTACAAGCAGCCCTATGAAAACGTCCACATGGTGAAGAACTAGGGTCTCCAGCCAATGAGCCATTTTGGAAGCGAGTTTCTGCCCTACTCGAGCTATGTCATGACCACAGCCCTGACCAACATCTTGACTGTAACCCCATGAGAGACTCTGAGCCGGAACTACCCAGATAAGCCGCTCCAGAGTCCCGGCTCTCAGAAACCATGTGAAATAATAAATATTTGTTGTTTTAAGTTGTTGAATTTGGAGGCAATTTGTTATGCAGCAACAGATAACAGTAATGTAAGACGTAAAATAAACTATGTTAACGAGATAAAATAAATGAAAAATTATACTTTACAAAATATGTGTCTTAAATTTGCTCTTTAAGGCGTAAAAAGAGTCCAGCAACTCTTAAACTGAAAGAAGCCACAACCACTTATGTCCTCAATTTGGGGGGAGGGAGCCCCACTATCTAAAAAATGGTTTCATTCACAAATACAGCCCTGAAGTATACTCAGGAAGAAAAAATTTTGAATGGCTTCTCAAATACACGTTTTAGTTTTTACCGTAACTCCAAATCTACCCAAATTAGTGACGTTCTACAGTATACAAGAGAATTCTTCACTATGCTAACTCATGTCCTGTGGAGAATAAGCAGAGTCATAAAGAGCAGGCAGGGTTTTTTGAAAAGGAAAGCTCTCTTTCTTCTTTAGCTATCAAGTCAGACCCTGGCTCACCCTCACAGAGCAGATGTCACATACCTGGGATGAGCTCACGATCCTTCTCTTATCTTTGCACCAGTCCATGCAGAGAACCTTGTTCCCATGGCCTTTGAGGGTCCTCCTGGTCTTCATGACAAACTGCCCCAGAGCTTCCACCCGCTCGGCCACCTGGTGCACTAGAAGGACAGACTACAATCAGTTCCGTCACCAACGACCAGATTCTGAGCCATATGCTGGCAAAGGGATGACATTGGTCTTTCTCTGATTCTCCTGTTTGTGTGTGTGTGTGTGTGTGTTTTGGTTTTGTTTTTTACTATTATGCCTTCATTATGCTCCTTTAAACTCAGGAGAGGGTAGAGACAACACTGTCATTCTGTCTTTGGGTTTAATACCCCACATCTTGCAAAGCGTTTCCATCTCTGTGTGCCGAGGGATCCACAATGAGGCTACCTCATATACATATGGCTGCCTTCCCCCATACAGAATTCTCCCACTGAAGGGCTGCGGCTCTGCGAGGTGGGCAGGGTGAGCAGCAGAGTGAGACTGAGGCTCACCGGGGTTCTTGGGCTAAAACAAGTTCATACAACCAACTGGGAGTGAAGCTGGGGCTTCTGGTTCTTTTACCTACCTTTCCAATCACAAGGAAAAGTGACTTTACAAAAACTGTCCCATGGTGGCAGAATGTGCACCCATGCCGCTCGAGAGCAGGCACCGTGACCCCTAGCTGATGCCCTGCACCTAGCACAAGCCTGGGACACATCCGGGCTCCATTCCCGTGCTGCAGACAAGAACGGACGAGGGAGCCACCACATGGCGCACCAATGCGTTTACTGAAAACTTCCGCTATCAGTGGAGATCACTATTCTAAAAGTCTAAACACGTGACCTACAGGAGCAACCCACACCAGGCAGGAGCTCCAAAGAGGAATCTCGCAGGGGTTGGGCCCACGGCCTCTTTCCTGAGCCTGTCACTGAGGAGTCCCAGAAGGAGCCACGTTCCCATGAAGAGACAGTCACGTCCGGGCCCCACATCCAGAGGTGAGGAAACTGAGGCTGGGGGACCCCACGGCTTCGCCCCCTCATGCAGTGCCACTGCCCTTCTAGTTAGAGGCTGTGCCAGAAGGAAAAACTGGGGCTCCTAACCGCCCCCCCTCCACTTCTCCTACCTCCAAACCTCCCAGCTGGGCCTTTCCCCCAGGCAGGTGAGAAAGAGGGAAAGGGGCATCCGAGGCAAGGGGCAGGCCCAGGAAAGGCGTGGTGTCTCTGCGGAGCAGCGCAGCATGGGGGGCGTGAGGCAAGGCAGCTGGCCCTCTTCCTTCCCAGGAACCACTGCCCCTTGCTGGGGAGTGCCACCTCCCTCACGGAAATGGGGCAGGGAAGGCCGGACTGGACTGCGGCTCAAGCCCGTGACAACAGCGCCCCTTCTCAGAAATCCTCCCTCCCTCCCTCCCCTCCGTCTCTCTAAACACTGCATTGTGTATCTCCTAAAAACAAGGAACTCTCTTACATAGCCACAGTATATTATCAAAGTCAGAAAATGAACACTGGAACAATGCTATGTCCAATCTACAGACCTTATTGAGATACTCTCCATCGTCCCAATAATATCTTTACAGCAAAAGAAAATCCAAGACCACGTGCTGCCCTCAATTGTCATGTTTCTTTGGTTTCCAGCTACCGAGTTTCCCAGGGTGGGCCTGTCTGCCGCTTCCTCAAGATCAGACGCAGGTGATGCGTGTTTGGCAGGAACGCCACAGACGGACGCTGAGTCCCCGCCAGTGCGCCCCGTCAGGAGGCGCCTGTCGTCCGTTGGGCTCGTCACTGGCACTGTGCCCACTGACCATTCAGTTGAGGTGGTGTCTGCCGGGTTTCTTCACTGCAGTTACCGTTTTGCCTTTTGTAATGAAAAAGTGTCCTGTGGGGATATACTCTGAGACTCCACAAATACCCCGTCACTCATCAAACTCCAATACCCTCTTTTTAACATCTGTTCATGAGTCTTGCCTGAATGGGTGATGATGATGGTTGGCAAGTGATTCTCCTAATTCCATCATTCCTTCTGCATTTTTAGGTGGCTTTCTAATAAAAGGAGCTTCCCCTCCTCTTCAGTGTATTTATTTGTCCATTTATATTAGATGGAACTCATGGATTACCTTATTCAAGGGGTTATAACCCTTTAGTATTATTATTTATTTTTATGCTCAACTAGTCGCTGATTTGCTCAGTGGGAGCCCCGTCAAGCAAGCGCCCAGACCTTCTGACATGTCCCTACCGTTCTCTAAGCATTTCTTATTCCAGGCTCATGTTCTTTCCCTGCTCTGGCCCCAGAATCAGCCACTTCTCCAAGAAGTCTTGGTTTCGTTTAGTTGCCCCATTCCTTTGTGATAAAAAAACAAGACTGTGAACAAGTTAAAAGTCTCTGTGAAAACCCAACTATAGGGGTGCCTGGGTGGCTCAGTCGTTAAGCGTCTGCCTTCAACTCGGGTCATGATCCCAGGGTCCTGGGATGGAGCCCCGCATCGGGCTCCCTGCTCTGCAGGAAGCCTGCTTCTCCCTCTCCCACTCCCCCTGCTTGTGTTCCCTCTCTCGCTGTGTCTCTCTCTGTCAAATAAATAAAACCTTTAAAAAAAAACAAACAAACCCAACTATAAAAAATCCTTGCTGAACTATAAGGTACTACATGAGGGGCGCGTGGCTGGCTCAGTCAGTGGAGCGCGCAACTCTTGATCTCCAGGATGTAAGGTAAAGCGCCATGTTGCGTGTAGAGATTACTTAAAAATAAAATCTTAAAAAGGAAAAAGTACTACATGAATGTGCAATTATTATGCTATCACTTCTGCTAAAACATTGCATTCTTTATTACCACAAATGGTACACTAGTTTTTTACAGATACATTCTTAAAAACATACTGAATATAGTTTAAAGACGGCAAATTTTCTAAATTCTTAGAGGCCATTTACATAAGCCTGTACCAGCTCAGAGTTGTGAGCATATTTTGTTTAGTGTTTTGTTTTCAAACTTCACGTCAATATTATTGCAGCTTTCCCCAGTTCAGCGTTCGGACAACCACAGCTATTTTATGTTCCTCTCATGAAAATAAAAAAAAATTAATGAATTAAAAAGATGACTCACCCAACCGATATGGGGCCCTCCTTATATAATGTGAATCGAATCTGACCACATTCCAGCTACTAATTATTTTTTTCTCACTGCATTTTCCTTTCCCATATATAGGTTTACTCCCCACCCACTCCATCCTGTTTCTATCTGGCCAATCTCACATCTGTTAAACTGAAGAGTTACAGCTTGAATGGTATCTCTAGAACCCCGAGTATGTGCCAAGTACTGTGCTGGATGCTCGGGTACAGAAAAGAATAGGACGGTCCCTGCTCTTCCTGAGCTCATGGTCTGCAGGGGGCAGACCGCAGCTGCAGCGCGGGGACAGAGGTAACCCGGCTGACTGCTGGCAGGTGTGCCATCAGGAGACAGGCACCTGGCTTTGAAGGATCCACTGGAACTGGAGTAAGGAAAGGGGAGGTTGAATCACCTCCCAAATTTTGCACCAATATACAGTCTTTGATGGCCACCATTTGGTAGAAGATCTAAGGAACGGAGGATGAAAAATTATCCAAAGCTACTTCTAAAAAATTCATTTTGGAACCCAAGCGTCCATTGATAGATGAATGGACAAAGATGTAATATATATATACACAACACACACAATGGCATACTTCTTATAAAAAAGAATGAGATCTTACTATTTGCAACAACATGGATAGACCCAGAGGGTATTATGCTAAGTGAAGTCAGACAGAGAAAGACAAATACCATATGATTTCACTTATATGTGGAATCTAAAGAACAAAACAAACAAAAAGCAGAAGCAGACCCATAAATACTGAGAACAGACTGATGGTTGCCAGAGGGGAGGAGGTGGGGGGATGGGCAAAGTGGGTGAAGAGGATGGGAGGTACAGGCTTCCAGTTATGGAATGAATAAGTCACGGGGAGGGTGGGGGGATGGGGTAACTGGGTGATGGGCATTAAGGAGGGCACACGTGATGTGAGGAGCACTGGGTGTTATATGCAACTGATGAATTACTGAATACTACATTGGAAACTAATGATGTACTGTATGTTGGCTAATTGATTTAAATTTAAAAAAGAAAAAAAGAGTAAGTCACAGGGATAAAACAGGATAACAGCATAGGGAGTACAGTCAATGATATTGTCTAGTGTTGTCTGATGACAGATGGTAGCTAGACCTGTGGTGAGCAGAGCATAACCTACAGTTATCGAATCACTGTTGTACACCTGAAACTAATGTAACATTGTGTGTCAACTATACCTCAATTTTAAAAACTACAAATAAAAAAATTAAAAAAAATGGATCCTGTCTAATTCTACCCCTGGATTGAATGGAGTGGATATAAACAAAACCCTCAAACACTTGGATGGAAGGAAAACATCTGCAATCACATTACCTCATTTGTGCTTGAGATTTTGGAATTGCTCCAAAACATATATTAGCTACACACAGAAAAAACCTCCCCAGAATTCCCTAATTAAAAGCTGGATAGGCTAAGCAATGGTACAGTCTTTCAGATGGAGTACTATATGGCTCCATACAATAATTTCAAAATATTGACATTAAAAAGAATGGCAAAATGACACGGGGAACTATTTAATTCATTGCGTTAAATTGAAATTAGGCTCAAACTCTAAATCTAGTACAATCCCAAGTACGCTCACAAATAATATGCACAATCATAAAATCATAAACTATGAAATATATCAAAATATTAAAATTGGCTACCCCTGGGTGGTGGGGTTATGAATGGCTTGTTTTCGTCTAGATTTCTAAATTTGTTATAGTGGGCCTTAGCTTATTATGATGGTGCCCTAGATTCACTTGTGTGAGCTAGATTGTATGCAATTATGGATGCAGAGCCAAAGCAAAGGGAGAGGAGATGAAAGGTAGGTTTGCTCTCCGTTCCCTCTCATGGCTGCAGGCAGCATGTGGTCGAAAGCAGCAGGGAGAGGATTAGTTTGTAGGGAAACTCACGTCTAGCCTCAGGCCACGCGGCCTATTTCCTTAGAACGCAGAAAAAGTCAGTCAACAAATTGGCTTCAGACTAATCCAGAAATTCGGTTTTCCTCGATTTCTCCCTACACCATAAAATCAGAATAGTCCAAGGCTCCAGTCATAATATAGCCTTTGAGAATAAAACCTTTCACAAAGTTACATTTAGAACAGATAGAAAAGTGAATAGCATCTGATGATAAGTCCTGCGAACTTGACCAAATTTCAGCTGGATTTGTACTTGAAATTACATAAATCTTCTTTGAGTGGCTTTGTTCCTACACTAGATTAGAATCTGCCCCCAAAGAGGCTGGGAATCTGGAAGAAGCCCCCCATAGCCCCACGAGGCTGCCATACGTGCTGGCTGAAAAAAACACAGTGTGCCTCCTGACCTGCTTTCAGCCTGTTTTCTGGATCATTCTTCAGTTTAATTTCAAGTTAAGGACTCTTCAAAGTTGAATTCTCTTCTTTGTTCTTGATCTTGACTCCCATTCCAGTACTCATTTTTTATTATAAAAGCAGGAAATGCACAGATGGGTATAAATCGAAAAGTACCTCCGCCTCCCCTCACTCCCCTGGGCCCTCTCTAGAGATAACAAGTTTCTCACGTATCCTGCCACAAATTAAATGCATATTTGTTTAAGCTTGTTCACGCTAATGAGATCATGTTAAATATACTGCTTGGGACTTTTTAAATTTAATGTTGAGATCTTTTCATACACACACATGGATTTTTTTTCCCTTCTTAATGGAAATCTCAACTGCCTGAGAGATGGCCTAGCAGAGTGAGAAGGAGAGCTAATACCAGGTGCCTGAACCCTGGCGTCTACTCCCCCATTCTCCCTTAGAGTAGCTGCAGAACCTTAGGACATTCCCTTTACCCTTCCCTGGATCTCAACAGTCTCCTCATCCATAAGGGTTATAGGGAGGAGAAGGAAACTTTTTGTGCCTGAGGACTGAGGCTGAAGCAGGTGACCCTTCTAGTTTTGAGAGCCTGTGATAGGACCTCCGAAGATGTCCATGTCTTAATCCTTGGAACCTGTGAATATGTTCCCTTACACGGCAAAAGGGGCTTTGCAGATGTGATTACGTTAAGGATCCTGAGCTGGGATGATTACCCTGCTTTATACAGGTGGGTCCACTGTAATCACAAGAGTCCTTATAAGAGGGACGCAGGGAGATCAGAGTCAAAGAAGGTGAGGTGATGACAGAAAGGTCAGACGATGTGAGGCCACAAGCCGAGGATTGCAGGCAGCTTCTAGAAGCTGGAAAAGGCAAGGAAGGGACTTTCCCCTAAAGCTTCCAGAAGGAATGAAGCCCTGCTGACCCACTGTAGACTTCTGACGTCCAGAACTGTAAAAGAATACATTTATGTTGCTTTAAGTTCCTATGTTTATGGAAATATGTACAACAGCAATAGGAAACCAATAAAAACTATAACCTCATGATTCTAAAATGTCTTACAATCAAGCAAGGGAACACTTACCTATGGTAGAAGGTAAGCAGAAGGCAATAAGGGGAAACATCTAGAGAGGAGGAAGCTCTGGAGGAGTAAGGGGAAAGGCAGGGGTATGGGGCCTGGGGCTATGGAGTTTGATGTAGGCTGCCTTCCCCTTGGGCCACCCATATAAGCCACTTCCTCTATTTAATGTTGGCCAAGGGTCTGACTTGGGGATGAGGGCCCAACAGTATGGACGTTGGTCTGAGGGTCAAAGGGATGGGAGCTGAAGACGTGAGGGTCTGGAGTTGGGTAAAGTTTGCTTTTCCTCCAAGCTCAGGCTATTTTGTTGTGTTTTTTAGGCAAGAATTTGGGCAAGTCAGAGCTAATAGAAGGCTGATCAACCCAGTTTGCCCAGGACTAACGGGTTTTCCAGAATGCAGCACTTTCCATTTTAAAACTGAGAGTCCCAGGCAAACCGGGATGCCTTGGTCATCTTAGCTTGTGGCCTGAATATGTTCCCTAGCTAGGGTAGGGGGTTACAGGACCATCTATATAACAACACCAAAATGCAAAAACGACAGGCTCAGTAAGAGGCTGAGAGACTGGTAGAGAGAAGAGCCCAGTGATCATGGATCATGGAGATCTCTGGAGGAGAGGGTATGGTCAGAAGAGGAGGAGCAGCTCTGAGAGCTAACGAGATCCAGGAGGCTGTGATGGAGCGAGAGGCCAGCGTGTTACAAGGGTCACACTTGTGAACCCTGAAGACACCAGGGACGGGGCAGGGCTTAGGTCAAAAGGAAGGCTCACATTAGGTGCCAAAGGCCGTAAGAAATGAGGCAGCCTGGCTGGGGAGGTCAGGAGCCAGCAGCATGGAGGAGGGGAAAACAGGATGTCACTTGAACGACAGGAGCCTCAAAGGAGCAGAGGTATTATACAGGTGTAAAGGAGAAGTGTTGGGGGAAATAAAGCTGCAGGGGAAATAAAGGGGAACTTGGCCATATGACTTCTGGTCTCTTCAACTCCAAAATGCTGACTTCTATGCAGGTGAGGATAGGTCTTTCCACTGTGGGTCCCTGGTTTCTGAGGATACTGCATCCTTGGCAGGACGGGGGTTCCCTGGTGAAAAGCTCTACCTTGACTATCTCTCTGCCTTAGGGCCATTTCCCAAGTCACAGAAAAGGCTGAGAGGTTCCCAGCAGGCAGTCTGCACTGCCGATGAAGAGAGTTTCTGGAGAACCTCCTCTGCACAGAGCCCAAAGGGGTTGGGCACAGAGTTGAAGTGAGGCTGGGCTGGAGTTCTGACTGCCTGGGCTGGAATCCTGGTCCCACCACTCACTGGCTACAGTCCTCTGGCAAGTCCTTTCACCCGAGGTGCCTCAGTTTCCTCATCTGTAACATGCAGAAGTCAGATGACCTACCTCAGAGGCACCCACACCATACTTACAGCATCATCCATAGCATCTGCACAATGTAGGAGTTTGCAAAGTGAAATGAGACAGAATTTTTTGTCTGGTGCCTCCCAATTTCTGTTCCCTACCGTTGCTGATAACAGAAACCCAACTTTATTTGGGGATGATAATGTGTCCAGCTCACTTCTCCCTCTCCCAGCCTCCCTTGCAGTAGCTATGTGACCTACTTCTGGCCAATAAAGTACAAAATCTGTTGGGAGAAAGGAGGCTTTGGGGAAAACTTCTGCTTTCCTGATAGGAAGGAGAGCCAGAAGCTGGTGCCCACAATCCCCCTTCTTCTTGCCCTGGATACAGAGGTTATGTTTGGAGCTGTGGTGGTCATATTATAATCACGGGGCTAATGCCAGTGGAGCCTGGGTCCCTAATGGCACACTGGGCAGCTGAGCCAAAGCTGGTGATCACCGACATTCTTCCTGTTATATAAGGAAAATCACTCCCAATTTGCTTAGCTACTTTATTTGAGGTTTATAGTTAATTGTAGCTGGACATATCCCTAAATGATATAGGGGTTTAGTGTGTCTCCGATATAAAGGAGGCCCCTACGAAAGCACCGTGCACTCTAGATTCAGGTCATCTGCTTCTATCAAGTGATTTTCAAAGAAAGGCACCAGGTGCTAAACGACCTAGCATGAACCCCATGTTTTGTCTCCAAATAGATTTTAAAAGGGGTGGCACCAGATAGGAATGGTAGGAGCACAATGTATAGGGGTGACTGAGGGTACCATGGGGGAGGCTGTGCTCAGCAAAAGGGAGCTGCCACCCTCGGAGCTGAAAAATAAGCAGATAAAGCCATTTCCCCAAGCCTGGCCCTGAGCCCAAACTCTGCTGAGGACAAACCATCTGACGGTAAAGGGAAGCGGATCCCACCAAGAGTCATTTAAACTGGCTATTTAATTGCTCCCTCATAAAAATCACTGAGCCGTTTCTGAATTATGGTAGTGGTCAATAAATAAGTTTATTTACGATTGCTATTGCTCTTTTATGCCAATCGCACCGCATCCATTCAAAGGCTTCTTAAACAGCCTTAAATGAATGAAATGATTGGATTTGGTAAGCTCCTCTGCTTTTTTCCCCCCATCCGGTTCTCCACCCCCAAGGACAGGGGGCAGACTGGAAAAAATGAGGTTTTAACTCAGAGTCTGCTTCCTTGTAAAAGCAAAACTGAGCAAAGGCACAACAGTGATGGAGAAAGCTAAATGATGTAAAAACAAAACAGTTGACCCTAGGCCGCGCCCACAGAGGCTCGCAGCGCTGGCTACCGCCGACACCCCCTCCACCCGGCTCGGGCAGAAATGCGGTCGGTTCGCATCTTCCAAGCAGGTGATGGAGGGAACTGTCCCAAGATCCTTGGGAGGTGGGGGGGGGGGGTATGCGGGGCGGGGGGGAGAACAGAGGCCAGGGCCGGCGACCACCGGCGCCCCCGCCCAGAGGCGGAACGGCCTTCGCTAGCGGGCGGGGGCTCTGCAAGGTGTCCGGCGCCTCCGAGGGCCGCCAGGCTCGGGCGCCACAGCCGCGCAACCCGGGGCTCGGGGCCGCAATCCACGCCTCACCTGGCGCCCGGGAACCGGGGGCCCATCCTCGGCGCGGGCGCCGGCCTGGCTCCCGCCCCGGGCCCAGCCCCCACCCCAGCCGCGCTCCCTCGGGGGCCGGTCTGCTTTCCTCGGCCCGCCTCCCCGCGCGCAGCCCCCGCCCCGGCCCGCACTCACGCTCCACGTCGTGCAGCTTGGCCCGCTCTTCCTCCAGTTTGCCCTTGAGGCACTCGGCCTCGCTCTTCAGCGACGCCAGCGTCTGGTTCTCGTGCAGCCCGTCGGTTGCCATCTTCGCGCCGGGACGCGGCAGGGAGGGGAGCGGAGAGCGGGGACGCGGGTGAGCGGGCGACCGAGGCCTGGCCGGCGGGCGGGCGGGCGGGCGGGAGCGGCCCGCGGCGCAGCTCCAGCCGCCTTCTCCCCGGGCGCGGCCCCGCCCTCCGGCGCTGACGCGGGCAGCTGCGAGCCGGGCTGCGGAGGCCCGCTCCCCCTCTCGGCCCGCCGCGCCCGCGGACACCCGCGCCCCCCCCGCCCTGGCACCTGCCGCGCGAGCCTGGCGCTGTGCCCAGGGCGATGCCCTCGGTGGCGCTGCGGCGCACCCCACCCCGGAGAAGCAGGGAGCGTCGTGCCCATTTTACCGGTGGGAAAACCGAGGCTCGGAGGGTAACGTGACTTGCCGGAGGACGCGCACGTAGTGAAACACCAAACTGGGATTCCAACCCAGGACTGCCCGGCTTCTGCGAGTCGGTGAAGCCCCACTGACACGGCCTTACTACCCGCCCCTTCCCCGGCACCGATCTCCCCTCAGTGGGACTTGATAGGCGGCCCAGTGGCGGCTACCTGCAGAGTAGATGAGCGAGGAGTGGGCAACGAGGCCCAGCCGGCACCACTGATACGCTGATACCGGCCTGGTCCTGGGTAGCTCTGGTGCTCCCCCCACAACGAACTTAAATATACTTAAATATACAAAAATAAAACGAAATCTGGTTTCTGAGACGCTGTCAAGGCTTCGCAGCATTAGGAAGCGCACTCCCGGGTTTGCTTTCCCTCTCTTCACACAGTCCCTGGCCTGGGGTTAGCAAAGGAGGTGCTGGCAGGGTTGGAATTAGTACCCCGGGGTGTACTGAGCCCACACTCAGTGATCCCAGATGTGTCACTTCTGAGGCAGCTTCCTCCACCTTAGAATGAAAGGTTGCTAGGATTCTCTCAAGGACGCAAATTTAGTAACTTCATGGCAGGCTCAAGCATCTCTTTTCCCCGGGTCCCCTGCAGTGCCAGGCACTGTTCCAAGCACTTCATATTACTAAATCGCAAGTCACCCTGAATGGATACCGTTATCCCCATTTTACAAACGAGGACACCGAGGCCCAGGTTAAATGATTTGCTTGAGTCACACTCCCAGAAAGAGGCAAAGGCAGGATTTGGACCTAGGCAGTGTGGCTTCATTTGGCTACATGCCTCTGGACTTCAGTGTGGAGGACCCAACAGGTGGCTTCTCCCTTTCCCCCCATCCATGACCTGGCGTGTATGTGCGTGTGTGCAAAATGGGAAGGCGGATCAAGGTGACAAATTTCAGAGCAAACATTCCCAAGCAGGCTTTTGGGGGCCGCTCTCACCCCCCCACTCCCTGAGGAATCTGGCCTCTACTTGCTGTCCTGGGCAGCTCTTTATCAAAGAAAAGTTGGAAGTAATCTGTATTCATCTAGACATGGTGGTCTAGGAGGTTAGATTCTGAGCTCCTCAGTTTCCTTATCTGGAAAATCTACTTCAGAGGGCTGTTATGAGAATTAAGTCAGATAATGTGAGTGAACCTCTTAGCAGACTTCTCCATCACAGCAGATGCGTATTAACTACCAGCTAGCTCCCTTTTCCCTTGCCATCAATATAGGTTTATTCATCATTTATCCTCAGTATTTAGCATAATCACTGGTATATGGTAGGTATTCAGTTAATGTTAGTTTATTAAGTGAATATATAAAACAATATATAAAATATTAAAATAAAAACATATATAAAATATCAGTATATAAATATAAATGCTTTAGATTCAGGCAACTATTTATGAAAGTGAAAATATGACATCTGCTTCAGAGTTCGTAGAGCAAAAGTTTAAGAGCACAGTTTCCATCTACGTCATTCTGCCTGAGGATAAATCTTGGCTGTGTGGTGTGGCCTCCGGTAATTTACTTAACTTCTCTGTGTCTCAGGCTCTTTATCTGTAAATGGATAACACCTCCTCAGAAAGGCCTCACCAGGGCTGACCAAGCAGAGCATTCAGAGCTGGGCCTGACACAAACTATTTGCTCATTAAGCCTCCCTGATACACTCGAGCGATTCACATGAAGTAATTTCAGTGAGACACTAGGTCATGGGAGACACTTCTCACCAGGGTCACTCAGAAGGCCTAGCCAAACAGCATCCTCTCATCACTTCCTCAGTGATGCCTTGTGGCCCATCATGGGATGTGTGCCTGCTCGAGGTCTGCCTGTGTGTGATCTGGGCTGAGTGGATCTTCACGCTGGGGTGTGCCCTTCTCTGGAGGTTCTCTCTGTAAACAGATCCCAAACATCCTCCATTCTAGAGGCTCTACCATCCAGAGATAAGGCCATGTGACTTCTTAACAGATGGGAAAGTTTGCAAAGTGCCTTTCTGTACTTTGGTTTTAACTCCTTTTTCTAAGTAAGGAAGCCGGAGATCAGAAAAGTTGAGGTCTGCTACATTTCGGCAGGGGTGGAGGCACAGCGTTGCCCCTGTTCATGAAAAGGGCCCGCGGGGGCGGGGGGTGGGGCTTACACAATCGCAAACACCCAGGTGAAAATTAGCTGTCAGTCATTTGGATGTCTCCTCAGCCGCAGGAGCGTGTCTGAATATTTGGGAACCCCCAAGTGCTTGTGGAGATGGCCCGTGACAGTTTCCTGAAAAAGCTCTCCAAGCAGAGCCTCTGCCCTGGGGAGAATCTATGATGCTACAGGATGTGACCACAGGGACCCTGGGCTCCCAGTATCCACACAAGAAGTTGTTTTAAAAATAGAAGAGCTAAGATTAATAAATAGCACTGCTGCGGGATGGTAGGGCCACCGGAAAGCAGGCTTATTTTAAGAACTGAATGTCGTCAGTTCGATGATGTGCAGAGCCATGTTTAGAACACAGTGCGCTGCAGGTAGAAGCCCGTTACACTAAGTCTGAATCTTGTGACACCAGGACTATTGCGCTGTCCCAAAGCCTTTGTGTCTCTCTGGGCTGTTTACTTGCCATTTGCTTTACGAGAATAATTTTTTAAATGTAATTACTGTTAGGGGTTACAGTGGGACCAAGAGGCTGACTACTGCCTTTTCCTCTTCAGTTGGGTAAAATGTAAAAACCACCTTTCCTCTCTTTGATAGATGGTTTTAAATGTGTTGATAATCGGGGGTTTCCAATTGGGATTTTGGAGAAGAGTACTTTACCACTTTTGACCAGGTGGGGGCTCTGCTGAGCCATATTACTGAGCATGGCTTTGCAAATCCTCTCAGGGCTTCTGCCATGCTATGGGCATTTTGCTACAAAGATCTGAAAAGACCTGTGCATAGCCACCTCTAGTGAGGACTGATCTGTGTTCTTTGAAAAATGTAAGGATTTATACTCAGTCCCTAGCCCTCACTGAAATCTTAGGCCTAAGGAGCACGTTTCCTTGAACTTAATTTTGCTTACTACTGAGGCCCTGTAGGGTCCCGTCTTCAATAGAGCTGTTCCTAGGAAAAGCTGGACCAAGGCCTTGGAAGAGGCACTTCCAGGCTGTTTGTTTGCCAGAGTCCCTTTCAGCTGGGTTGCTTGCCAAGCAGACAGAAAGCAGAAGAAAAAAGCATTAGCCCTAAAAAAAGTAGTCATCGTTAAAACATTCATTGAGCAGGGCCGTGCTGGGTACTGTTTTAAATGCTTTATCAAATGAACTCATTGAATTCTCACAAAACCCTATGAGATAGATGCTATTATTCCTATTTTACATATGGGAAAACTGACCTCCTAAGTCAATTGAGATCTGTTGGCACCCCCACCAAGGAACATAACCAGGATTTGAACCCAGGAGGTCAGAGGGTCCACACCGTAAACCCCCACGCATACTGCCTCACTCAGTCCAAGTGTGCTGAAGATGTCTGTGTGTGTAAAGTGATTCTATGGTAACTCATCTGTCCCAGGTCCCTGACATTAGACATCATTTTAAAACAAGATAACCACTTTAATTTTTTTGAAGTGGCACTTACAATTTCTGCACACATTGAACAGTAGCTGAGCTGTTGAGATTTCTTGAAAACTGGTCTCAGAGCCCGTTGTTTGAAACATTTGTCACAGGAGCCAAATACATTAACGAGAAAGGTCTGATCACACATTTTTCATCCAAAATGAAGCTGAAAAAGAGAGAGAGAGAGAGAAAGGGAAGTTTGTGCACGAGAAAAGCCAACAGAAATAGCTTTTTAAAACTTCATCTTCCTTTGATCACGATGGTTGCTCAGACTTCTACATGTGGGATAAAGTATACGCAGTTAATTTACAACCTTTGATTTATTACAACATGCTGGGTCAACACCACCTCGTTTATTTAATCAGTAAGAAAGCATCAGACAATAGGTTTTCTGGGGTTACCATTTAACTGGCTGTTTTGGCAGCTTACAGACAGGGACACAATTGATCTTTGCGGCACAGTATTAATCCTGTGGGGCTCCGCAGTGGAAAGCGTCTTTGTAATGGATGCTATAATTTAAAACTTAAAAAAAAAAAAAATTCCTCCTCTAAGGGTAAACTTTTGGAGTAAAGACGAGAGTCAGAAAATGGTAGAGCCTGATCTCAACCAATACCATAAGGCTGAGTAAACGTAGTATTGGTTCTCTGCAAGGGACACATCCTGTTTATTAAACATTTGACAGCCACAGACCCAGGGTCCCTGTCTGTCCATCCAGAAGTCAACAGACAGGCCCAGGCCACTGAAGGGAGGGCAAACGTACACAAGCAAAACCATCTGGTGCCTAAGGGTGCTGGCTCTGGCTGACCAGATCCTGGCCCCACTACTTAAGCAGGTTACTTGAGCTTCTCTGAATCTTTGCTAATCAATCAAATGGGGATCTTAACATCTACTGTCACAGGGTCATCAGGGGAATTATGAAAGACAGTGCATAAAGCTTGGCTCAAGGCTGGAATACAGTGAGTACTCCACAGACAGCAGCAGTGGGAAGGCGGGGGGCGGGATGAGGCTGGAGATGTGGAAAAAGCAGAAGTGAGCCTATGGCCACACTTCAGGCAGAATGTGATGAAGGCCTCACATAAAGCAATGGTGTAGGATGGATTTGGACCATGCTTACGAAGAAGGAGCTAGACTTGGTGACATGCAGGGACAAGGAGGGAGAGAGGTCTGTGAAGACTCCTGGGTTTCTG